TGGCGAAAGTAATACTTTCGAAAATGCACGCCGATACTCCAAATTCAAAGCCAAGACCAAAATATATTGATACCCATAGAAATCACTTGTCTGAATGAATATACCTGTGAAATATGAAAGCCCAAGCATCAACCATTTAAAAACAAAAGTTATGGACAAATTTTATTTTTTTAAGTGGGCCAAACTGCAAGGTTTCTTTTTGAGTGATATTCCAAAATGGGACATAAAACAACATAAACTCAATCAAATTCATTCAGAATTAGTCATAAAGCTTCTTTCATTTGATATATTTTTTATCCAGGCCCATTCTCTTTCTGCTGGCTGTTTATCATGCTGATGGTTATCCAATGTTTAAGGATCAGATACCAAATGGTAACAAAGTACCACATCCGTGTGATCCTAAAACAATATGGCCAGGTGTAGGACACATGGCTCAGGGTGGGGGAGGCCAGCGAAATCCATTTGGTGTGGACTTCTACAAACAAGGAAAGGTAGACGTTTAGAGTGTTTCATATGTACTCTTTTTATAAAAAAAAAAAATATCTGGGAAATGCAAGGAAATTTTGTCTTCGGTTAAATTATGACTATAAACTGTAGATGATTTTTAATGTCCTGTAGATGTGCAATAAGGCATCAATTTTTTTTATATTCACCCAGGAAATTAAACAGTTAGACATCTTCATATTTATTAATAATTTAAATTCTAATGATAATATTGAGATAAGGATCTTCTAGATGAACAACAACTGGATTAGTCTGACCTAAACACTATAAATTGTAATTGACAACTTTTCTCTTCTCTTTGTTATTGAGTATCCCCGTCAAAACTTGACACGGACTTTAATGCAACAATGAAATTATATTCATTTTTGTCTAACTTGTCCATTCTTACTAGTACTGGTAATTGAAAATGGCCAAAAAAAAGTTTTCACCAATTCTAACTTTTCTCTCTCCCCCTCTGTTATGAAGACATGGACTTCTGTACTTTGCCAAATGGATTCAGATGGAGATGGAAAGACCAATGGACAAGAATTAGGAGATCCGGACTGTGAGTGGGCACCGAATAAAATACCCAAATCTGTAGATGGTCTGTCTCATCCTGGTAAGTAGGAGTAACCTCTCAATGGTTTGTATTATGTTGGTTTCTTTGATCATGAATGAAGTATTTATTTTTCACACGAGTGCAGTAGGAAAAGTGGCCTACGAGTACTTTAAAATTAATATATTGAAAGTACATCCATAATAATATTTCAAAAACATTTCCTAAAAAACTTAATATATTTATAGGAGCGCCCACCTAAATAAAACTTCCTTGAATACTATAGTAAAGGCAAACCTATACTAGTATACAGGTTAAAAATGCAGTAGAAATGGTTACCTTTTATGGGCATCAGTATCAATTATAGTTAATACACTGTATAATGGTGTATATATAAATATTTTAGGTGTATGTGAACCTCTTGATGACCCGAAATGCAATGGAAAGAATGATTTTCTGCGATGTGACAACGTTCCCAAATTTACCTGTGACATGGAAGATGGTTTGTAACATTTAATGTGAAAAGATAAATTGTTTTCTGAAAAAAAAATATCACATTTAATCTATCAATAAAGTTTAGAGATTTGAGAGTATTGTAATATTTCTCCTGTAATGCTTTTCTCTATATTTAGATACAATTAACCAAACATTACAATTTCCAAAAACCACGGTGCCAGCACGGGAAACAAATTATTTCTGCATGACCTTTGACCTCCTAACAGATGGAGATTACCATCTTATTGGGTCTAAGCCTTTGGTTGACAATGCCAATGTTTTACATCATATGATTCTATATGGCTGTAAAGACACAGGTTGGTAATTTTTCATACGCTCGAGTCAAAAGTTGGGGAGGGGATATAGAATTTCTATTGTGAGTGAAGGGGGGTGGGGGTAGAATTGTGTTGGCGTTGCGAAGATTGAAAATGAGCCCTCTAGTTCTCAGTAACATTTGACCTAGTATTTTTAACATAGATATTAAACATCCTTTTCACAGTGTTAGGGTAATAATTGCTATTTTTAAAATTGTAAATTGTATATATATTATTTTCTTGCAGCGAAGGTGACATCTACTCCCGAGAGCTGCGGCATGGCCAAGGAAGGCTGCAATGACATGATAGCGCTCTGGGCTGTAGGATTTACCGGTGAATGCCTTCATAAAGATGCTGGTTTTAGGGTCGGAATTAATGGATACAAGAAAGCCATATTAGAGGTACCAGAACAACAATATTCAGATCATGTATTAATACTGGAATTCACACCAAAGAAGCAATAACGTATTCTTAGCGTCAAATGAATGTATCTTTGTATTTGATCAATATATCAAAAGTATTTTGACGATACATATACCATTCTTATAACTAGATATCTTTTTTGTGCTAACACCTACTGCGACACGGGACCTCGGTTCGCACGGTCTCATCCGAAGGTCCGATCGCCACGTCCAACAGTTGGATTTGAACCTGCGACGTAAGGATTAACTCCTTACTTCGCGACTCTAGAACAGACGCTCTAACCACTGAGCCACGCGAGTGACTATTACATGTATTGAAATGTACAGTCATATCATTATATATTTTCTTATTGAACAGCCGCTGTTCAAGAAATCAATACAATGTGTTTGCTTCATGATGTCTACTGATTGTTAAACTTGCGTTCGAGTTCGAATCCCACCGAAGGACGTGGAGAGCGATCCTTCGGTAAGACCGTATTAACCGAGGTCCTGTGTTGCAGTAGGTGTCCTCACGAAAAAAGATCCCTTAAGTGCCGACTATATGTTAAAATATGCAGTTAACCACTAGAAAGTGGTTGTGTCTCCATGTAAGTGAAAAATTCTTGAGATGGACGTTAAACAACCACAAACTGATTGCTTAACAATCATGATTTTCTTAGGAAATGAAGGTGAACCTAATATTTAGTGGATGCAGATACTGAATCATGTAATGATGGAATGATATTTTACATAATTTTAATGAAAGTCTTGCAAGATAAAAAAGAAGGCTTCACACTGACAAATTATTTTCAGAAAATCTTCATGTAAAATACCAAATTTTGTTAAATAATCTTTCTTTGAAAAAGACATTAGATTCGAAAAGATTCATACTTTTCAACTTTAAAAATAAAATTTATGAGAGAAAACACACACGCGATAAAGGTAAAAAAAAATAGTGACACTTGAATGAGCATCATAGAAAAAAGTTGCTTAAAATAAAAAAAATGATGGTGGTTAGATTTTGTTTAATTCCTTATTGAACGCTGTAGAAACACTGCATTATCACCAATAATACACATGTAGACATCACTGCTTTCCTTAGGTTCATTGGAATAACCCGGAGAAAAGGACAGATTATATGGACGGATCTGGCATGTATATATTCCTCACAAAGTCAAGAAGAGTCCATGACGCGGGGATTCTGATGGTTGGACAGAATTACATTCAAATCCCCCCACGCTCCCCTCGAGTTGTCGTGAAAGCGAACTGTTCCAGTGACGACACTTCACGATTTATTGTAAATGGACCAGTCTACTTCACCCGTGCACTGAATCATATGCATTACTTAGGTATCCTTTTTCTATCCTACATTATACAAATATTTTTATGCGCCTGGATCGATAGATCCGAGGCGTATATTGTTTTTGTCCTGTCTGTTTGTCTGTTTGTCTACTGTAGATTCCTAATTAAACGCGAGGAATTAATTATCGCGTAATTTCGCGAGAAGCAACACTCGCGAAATAAAATTACTCGCTTTTATTTTTATGTTGCTGAAATCCATGTAAATTCTATTGATCAAGCGTCCATTCGCGAATTATTATTCTCGCGATTTGACGTTAGAGAGCCGTCTCGCGATAATAAGTACTCGCGAAAAATAAGGAATCTACAGTATTTATCTGTTTGTCTGTTTGTCAATCTGTCTGTTGTCAACTTTAACCTTTGCCATAACTTTTGAACCATGAAAGATAGAGACTTCATATTTGGTATGCATACTCCACCAATAAAGTTTTTTCAAATGACACCAAGGTCAATGACCTTGTGACCTTTACTGTGACCTATTTGCTAAAAATAGCCTTTTCGAATTTTCGCCATAACCTTTGAACCATGAGAGATGGAGACTTTATATTTGATATGCATACTCCACCAATGACGCTCGTTCAAATAACACAAAGGTCAATGACGTTGTGACCTTGACTGTGACCTTTATGCTAAAAATAGATTTTACAAACTTTCTCCATAACTTTTGAACCATGACAGATAGAGACTTCATATTTCGTGTGCATACTCCACTAATGAAGTTCTTCAAATGACACCAAGGTCAATAACCTTGTGACCTTGACTTATCTTCTGAAACTATTTTTTTGAACTTTGTTGCCGTCGGGCGCATAGTGTTTCACAAACACATCTTGTTTTTATCATACTTTTATGTAATGTCTCTTAACCATAAAATGAGAGTCTACCATCTTAGACGGCTGTTTAGATTAAGTTTTTTTCTCCTGTTCACATTTTACAATGCGATTTATCATGTGTTTTTTTCTGTGGAGACGAGCGTTTCACTCCATTATATTTACTTCCCCTGACAATGAATATACTAGTACATGTATATATTTATATCCACTTAATATTTTCTCCTTTATTTCTTAAGAAAACCCATTGCCGTTAATCAGTGCATGAACAACACTGAGCAAGCCACTTGTGTAGTTTTTTTTTTTTTAAATGGCTGTCCCATCAGGTTTACATACAATGACATATCCATCTTAAAAACAAGTTAACAAATTATATTTTACTTTCGTATGATTTTTGATACAGATGTAAATACAAACAATAAAATGCTTTCTTTGTTTGTATGTACGGGAATTAATGTCACAGCAATTGCAGAAAAAAATTACGCGGGTTATGCACTTTTTCTGCAATAGCTGCGAAATTAATCCCTGAACTAATCCCTGAACTAATGTCCTTTCTGACATAATTTATTTAATCAAATAAACTCTGCATTATGACTATTTAGTAATGCTTCGAGCAACTAACGATCATTTATTTTATTGTACCTGTTGACAATTTATTGTACATTCCATTCGGAGACGTTAACACAGTTTTTCACCCAAACCTACATTGGACCTGGTGGCTGAAAAGCAGAATCTTATTATCTTAGGGTCTCTCACAAACCAGCGAGTTATACTTTCCCAAAATAAGTGTGGTCACCCAAAAGGGCGACTGACACTAACGAAAAATGAAAGCATCTTATTATTTAAATAAACTATAATAAATTGACTCTTATAACATGTACAAAATATACCAAGAGCACCGTTTGGCAACATACTATAAAGAATTTATATTCTATTTTTAATCTAATTTTTAAGTTTTTTTGATAAAAAAATTCTGTAAAGATAGCGAACCATTCGTAACCATTATGACGGCTGCATTTCATTTCCGGAATTTTTTTTAGTCTGTATCATTCAGACGTTTGCGTTTACCTCCACAAACAATCGTCTGGATGATACAGACTAGAATTTTTCGTAATTATCAACTTTTCATTTCCGTTATTTTTTATGTATTTCAGTTTTGACATTTTTTTAGCTCACCTGAGCTTTTCTGTTCAAAATTTGTCAGTCGTCTGTCGTTGTTGTCGTCGTCGTAAACTTTTCACATTTTCATCTTCTTCTCAAGATCCGCTGGGCCAATTTCAACCAAACTTGTCACAAAGTATCCTTGGGTGAAGGGGATTCAAGTTTGTTCAAATGAAGGGCCAAGCCCTTTTCCAAGGGGAAATAATGATGCATGAATGAAAAAAAATGGCATCTTTTAAAAATCATCTCCAGAATCATTGGGCCAGGAAAGATGAAACTCATGTGGAAACATCCCCAGGTAGTGTAGATTCAAGTTTATTCAAATCATGACCCCCGGGGGTAGGGCGGGGCCACAATGGCTGATCAAAGTTTTGCATATCAATATATAGGAAAAATTTTTAAAAATCTTCTTTACCAGAACCAATGGGCCAGGAAGGATGAAACTCATGTGGAAGCATCTTCAGGTAGTGTAGATTCAAGTTTGTTCAAATCATGACCCCCCAGTTGTAGGGCGGGGCCACAATAGCCAATCAAAGTTTTACATAGGAATACATAGGAAAAATCTTTTAAAATATCTTCTCAAGATCAGTAAAGCTATGATTGGTGATATTAATATGGAAACATCCCCAGTTAGAGTTAATTCAAGTTTGTTCATATCATGACCCCTAGGGGTAAAGTGTGACCATAATGGACAATCAAATCTTTACATAGAAATATATAGAAAAAAATCATTGAAACTTTTCTTCTCAAGTATGGCAAAATTATACATGTATGTTTTATTGATATACTGACATTCTCAAGTAAAAAAAAATCAAATCCCTTCTCCCCCCATCGTCGGAAACCCACGGGTGATCTCGTCTTTACTTATCACCCGTGGGCAAACTAGCTGAAATATCGCCGTAAAATATGCTAATTTGTTGTTTTTAGTCAACCAATCAGAAAGTTGGAACTCTTCAATTTAGAAAAATACGTTTATTACTTTGCTATATATGGTAAATATTTTGACGCTCGTTAAAACGTGCGAAGTTTGATTTAAAACAATGAAAGTCAATTCGTACAGGTCACGGACATTAATATCCGTCAGATATTATGAAGGAGTACCTCTTTCTAACTGCAAAATGCACCAGTGAGTGGATTTATCAGCTGTGATAACTACGGAATGAGTTTTTCATGGTTTTGGCAATGCCGAACATGCATACGTAACGTGAACTTTGATTCGTTGTTTTGCATCGCGATTCTGTGAAGCGGCCAATCAAATGACCCATGCATATTTAATTACATACGACGATTTTTCGGCGAGTTTGCCCACGGGTGATAAGTAAAGACGAGGTCACCCGTGGGTTTCCGACGATGTTCTCCCTCAACAAGTAAACTTTTCAATACTGAGCTGATTTGTGTTTTTTACCTAGCCCATGTGCTCAGGTGAGCGATATGGCCCATGGGCCTCTTGTTTGGTTTCATTTCCGACATTTTTACAATATATATGTAGTAATTTTAGTAACAAATCTGAAGACTTTATTTATGAAATATTTAAAGAAAAAAATCGTAAATAAATCATTGAAATCCAATTTGTGAGTTTTGTAAATCTATCAATGACTTGGACATGTGTAGTGCTGTCACTGACATTTAATTATGTGCACATTAAATGTGGTGAAAAAGGTTTATGTTCATTGAACTCTTTTTATCTATGATGTATGCATATATGTGTATATGTTTATTTTTTTTTATCAATAATTTGTAATTATAGTTTTAAAATTCCATTTTCACTTACTCAGAAAAAATTGAATTGCCACACAGGTAAAAACGTTAATTTGGAACAAATTTGGATTCAAACATGCATGTTTTTGACTATGACATAAAGCAAGTCATAATCGCTGCATTTTTATTTCATTTCCGACATAATTTTGTTTTCATTTCCGGAATTTACTAAATTCCGGAAATGAAAACAAAATTATGTCGGAAATGAAATAAAAATGCAGCGATTACGACATGCTTTATGTCATAGTCAAAAACATGCATGTTTGAATACAAATTTGTTCCAAATTAACGTTTTAAACAGATTTTATTACAAAAAATGTTTTCTTTCATTAAAATCTTTTGTACTATATGTATTTTAGGAAGAGAAATGAAGTTGGAACATTACAGGGATGGAAAGAAATTGCGGGACCTGTCTTCTGAAATCGACTACAGTTATGATAGTCCCAAAACGTTCGAGTAAGACATTTTTTTATTGAATGACATTACCTAATGTATAAAGAGTCTATTCCGTTTATGGTATCATATTGTACATATGTACCATAATACATTGTACTGTTAACCAAATGCTTTATTATACAGTATTGTTTTAATACTGTAACAGGCTTGGGGCTTGTCGAAGAACAAATAACTGCCTGTTGAGGGTTCTGACAAGACTTCATTTACCAGAAATAATGGAAATAAACCCTGCAATATTAACAATATAATAAGCATAAAGATACAATGATTGTCAAGGGAGATAATTCATTACACATAGAAAATACATATATTTCTCCGCAATTATAGCACAATCAATATTCATCATAAAACTTTACAATAATTATCATCATAATGTATTTGAACATTATATATTACTGAAGAAGCATAAAACTATGTGCATACCATTCTATGGGAATAGGTGGGCACATCATGCGCAGCAATGCTGCAGATTTACAATTCAAACATTCTGAGCGGTCTGTAAATTAATTACACACAATATTACACACCAAATCATAAAAATATATAACCTTAAAAATATATAACAATGAGATCTTTCCGTTTACTCATACTATGAAATATCATTCTCACTCATCTCATTTACTCAGGGAAAGTGCTTAGGAAATAGATCAAGTATGCAAAATTACTGATTGGACATTTAATTGAAATATAAGAATCATATTAATATTAGTAATAAATTGTTAACTTACCAGAAGGAGAAGAAAGTCAGTCTCTATGAAAAGGTCTGATTGTCAAAATGTCAGATCAACAGAAACACATCATAACTGACCAAACTCTGGACAAAGAATGTCCAGAAAACCAAGAACCTTCTGGAGGGAAAAACATGAACCAATCCCCAAGTAAAACACAAAGTAAAACACCAATGAAATTAAAAGAAACATCCAACATTAGGCCTGGATATAATTAATGACCTAAGGCCATTTCTACCTATATACACCTTTGACAGACATGGGTGAATGCACACTAAAGGGCTTTAAACTGAATAATTATATTATTCAACATGTGCATTTTAAATCAAATGAAATTTAATAAATCATAATTACCATTCATGTATATAATAAATACATGTATGCATAGAAAATTAATAAAATATGTATCTGCCACACTACCTTAAATTAGCACAATAATGATTTTCATGAGGTTTTGCATGTAAAGAAATAACGAACGTGAGTATTGTTCAAAATAATCTTCAAGGTTTAAGATTCTTAAAATGTGGTGTACCTTGAAATATAATTCAAACCTTTGATTTAAGGAATGAATTGTTAGCATGCAAACCTTACTGGATCATAGATATATAGGCTTAAACGTCCCGTCTTCCGTATGATTATAATGGAAAAGTCCCATGTTTTGCGATGGGAGTCCCGAAATAAGTGTCGGATCAAAAAGTAAAAAAAAAAAGAAACTTACACTACTGAATATGTTATAGAGAATCCGTGAAAGTGTCAGGTACAGTTTTATTTAGTATAGGAGTATAGGAGAAGTTGTGAATATGAGTTTGGTACCCCTCACTATTATAGAAATAAGCGTAAATGCATGTTTTGCCATGGTATCCCAAAATATTTGTCCAAAAAGTAAAATAGGAGGTTTATAACAACAATTCTGTGAAAATTTCATTAAATTTCATTCAATGGCATAGAGGAGTTTCAAATAGCAAACATGGCATTGCCATTTTTTCTATAATAATGGAGGGTTCACATTTCTTATCCGATCCGCAACTCCTCCTATACCGCTTACTATTAAATGATACTTTCATAGTTTTTTATTACACAATGTCATTGTGCACCTTCTATTTTACTTCTTGATCTGATACTTATTTTGGGTCTTACAGAGCAAAACATGGATTTATCCATTATAATCCTATTGGAGGCGGATGTATTATTTACTGAGCTAAGTGCTTACAGTACCCGTAGTTTCAATGATCATTCTTTTCAATGTAGATTTCCAACACCTGTCGAGTTCAGAGCCGGGGATGAAGTAATCACCACTTGTGTATTTAACTCTATGAACATGAACAAAACTGTATACAAGGGTGATGCAACTAATGACGAAATGTGTTATGGATTTCTCACGTATTATCCAAAGGAAAATCTCACCGTGACCTCCTGCACTCAGTGGCAAGACATAAGCGAAAATGCTCTGTATGCTTATGGAGATAAAGTTATAATTGTAAATGGTTGTAATACTACAGCGTTTAATGATGATAACCATCCAGTTACGGCCTCTTTTTTGAAGGCCGTCCATGAGAACTGTCACATGCTCACAGGATGTACTTCAGAATGCCGTGCATTTTTACCCGAAGCAATGAAAAACCCATGCGTGAATGGCAGTGTGGGGGCTTATTACCGGCAAGCAGCTGTTACGCTTAGCTGGGTCTCACGTTTTACCATGTTTACAGCTCTTGACGCCTGTAACGCGGAAATTGCCCGAGAGAATTGCCAGGCTAAATGTATGGACACTTGTGAGGAACTGAAGAAAGCAACATCAGAAGCCAGTAAGGCAACAAGAGCAACACTTGTTGCATCAATATTATTTACCATCCATTTTAGTTTATAAGAAAGGAAAAGTTTAATCACAGAACTAAGGTCGATGACTACAAACAACGCAGCATTATTCAATAAAGTTGATATCAAGAATATTTTTGAAAAATGTGTTCAATAGTAAAGCTTGGATATTTGTTTAGTTTGCGTTTTTAAAAACATGTACTACATAAACGTTTAGAAACTTAAATAGCAAAGTCGGTAAATAATTGTAATCTATCCTTAATATTCAGAAATAAAAGATTCAATAACAGAGTTTGTTTCTAATCATTTCAAGACTAACTTCTGAGCACTGTACAAATATTTTCGCGAAAGGCTTTGTAGATAGATTCGTAAGCCAATTACATGTACATTCATACCATAGACTTAATTCGTCGATTATCATCGGGCTTTCGTTGCAAGCAACGTTTAAATTTCACTATATATGCTTGAGAACTTTGCAAAAAATGCCATCAATATGCATATGTATATTTGTATGAATTCACTCTGAAAATAAATATGCACACATGTATTTCTTTTTGTTATAAAACCATCTACTCTATCTTCCTTTCCATGTATGTTTTCAATTTTGAATTAACTGGATGGCATGTTCATGTAATAAACAAATTACAGTTTGATCTTCTTTTTTTTTATTCTCACTCAGAAAATTAAAAATTTACAACATGTCACATCCCAACAATCAGAAATCATATTTAAACGAAGTTTATAGAAGTGGGAACGAATGAGGCTAAAATATCAAACCTGTCACAAACAGTATGATACAGGATATTGGTGTCTCGGGCTTATACAGGATATTGGTGTCTCAGGCTGATACAGGATATTGGTGTCTCGGGCTGATACAGGATGTGATATGGAAAAGGGTATGTTTTATTCTCTCTAGTATATAATTTTAACATACAAAACTTGGATGGATAATAAACCCCTCTGTAGCCTCAGCATATGAGGTCACTTAACAGATTCTGACCGAATAAGTTGAACATGGAATTTTCATTTATATTCATTTATTAACTAATATAAACACTGATAATCCATTATATGTAAAAAATAATTCACAAGAAAAGCACTGTTTGTTCAAAATTTCATCTTCATTTGACCTATAGTTACCATCATGCTCATGCCGTGAGGTGGACAGATGGAGGTTGGTCAGTTAAAAAATAGTGCACATTTGGATTGCCAATTAACATGTTTTGCTAAGGCAGAATCTAGATGTCTCAGATTTATTAGTAAGTGAAGCTTTCTGGTCAGCATAGCTTTTAAAATATTACCTGAAAGGTTTTATTAAATCATATGGCTTTTATTGAGAGTGACCACCCATTGCAAATTGCGGCATCAGGGCATACTTGACACGCATTCAGAATAAATAACTGTAAAGATACAGAACGCTGAACAAAATGTGGTCATCTACTCCATACATTATTTTCACTATCATAAAAATATCATTTGAATGAGCTCTCATCTGGAATTGGTCGATGATATCTGCATTATGTTCAACAAGATTTTTATCTGAAAATAATTAGCAACCAACAAGGATATTTGGAAATAAGTTACAAAACCTTAGGTTACCTAACGTATACTTATCCATTTCCTTCTTATATGTTACGGATGTAAATGACAGGCCTTTACTTTAGGAATAAAACAAAATAAATACAGTTATAGGCGGCTGATATAAATGCAGGCAAACATAGTATATGATATTATAAATGCATGTACAATTTGAATTGAAAATTTAGAGAGATTTAAAATGTGGAATTTATGGTAAGTGGTTTATACTCCTCATATTAGTTTTACTTAACACATACTAGTAATTAAAATGTTTCAGAGTCAAAAGATTCTCGCAAACCATGTTGACCACTTAAGGTCATACGCAACGTAGTTTGAACTTAATTTGGCTGTTCCCCGGAGTTGAAGAGTTCCACTAAATGAAGGACCTGTGTGCAATACTTTTAATGTCTATATATGGATTTGTACACCTCTTCTGAAACAAATTTTGATGGAAAAAAATCCGGAATTTAAGTTTCGTACTTTTGTATTTTTTCTTTGAATAATGCAACATTTTCATAATTTGATATCTTCCAAAAACCCCTGGTAATGCATGCTGATATTTTGTCTATGAACATCTGAAAAAGTATCAGTAGGTAAAGTACCTTGCATATGCCCTTAATTTAAAATAAAATACTGTTTATATCATGATATTATCACCGACTATGCACATTTTAATTTGATTTTGGTTAAATTAAGACGTATAATTAGACATTTTTCAGTTATCCTTCCCGGATCATTGTTATGCAATACATGAGGATATTAGTAAGAGACTTTTCATTACAAATATACCGCATTTTACCCGTTTGTCATCATGACAATGAGTGTACATGTACTATATAGTATATGCCATAAAGTGTGGCGATTTATCACACATACAGGTTTATGTTTAAAATTAAAATTTACCTTAAATTATCTTCGGCTTTCTGTCCGATTCTGGTTCTCGGACTGAAACAGAACGCAGAGCATAAAGCAAACTGAAATTCTTGAAGAAACATTTTTTTAACCTTGAGAAAAGATACTAGCTTTATATGCTTTGCTTCTTTCATCTTGAATATTTTATTGCAGTACCTTTCTCTTTTTGTTGGTTATCAGTTGTGCTGATGGTTTTGGTTCGTTTCGAGATAAAATTCCAAATGGTCGAAATGTACCCCATCCTTGTGATCCGACAACAATATGGCAAGGTGTGGGACACGAGGCACGGGGAGGAGGAGGCCAACGAAATCCATTCGGACTGAACTTCAACAGGGAAGCAAATGTAAGTATGAGAACTCTTAGGTTGACACATTATAGTCAGTTAAACTGCAAAGTGGTACAGCGAACTGATTTTTTTACTACTTTTTTTCTTCCCAATTTGATCATCTATTTGGCAGTTTATGTTAAAAATGAATTCAATATATCCTGTATATGGGAACTTTTTTAGGGGATACCAATCTAATTAAAACTGTATCTTTGATCCGCTCCAAATACTAGTACATCTGTACACTAATTGGAGCGGATCAAAAAATAATTTTATGAGATTTGGGAGTGATATTTTCTTCTTTTCCTACTCAAGACATGGACTTCTACACTTTGTCGTATGGATTCAGATGGCGATGGTAAGACCAATGGACAAGAATTAGGAGATCCGGATTGTGAGTGGACACCAAATAACGTACCAAAATCTGTAGTGGGCCTGTCGCATCCTGGTAAGTCTAGGAAAACTGAAAGTATTGAAGGTGGTTTATTTGATTTAAAAATGCCACGTGCATAGAAGGGGTAAAAAGGAGCATATGTTAAAAAAGATCTATATTATAAAGTTTTTAGAGGTATCCTCTCATCGAGCAGAATATACGAACCAAAAACACATTTATCTTAACCTCTCATTAAAAACAGAATTTAGAAGTAAAATTTAGTAAATTTAATTGTTATTACTAGGTGTATGTGAACCTCTTGGTGACCCAAAATGCGCAGGAAAGAACAATTTTCTGCAATGTAACGACCTTTCCTTTAACTGTGATATGGAAAAAGGTTTGTAATCCAATGTATGAATGAATTTTATTCACTATTCGAAAAAATAATTAACATAATAAACTAAACTGTTCGTTAATAAAACTTAAAATATGTGAAAGTTTTTAACATGTTATTCCTGTACAATTGTTCTCTTCATTCAGATACGATTAACCAAACATTGAAATTTCCAACAACCATGGTGCCAGCAACGGAAACAAATTATTTCTGCATGACCTTTGACCTCCTAACAGATGGAGATTACCATCTTATTGCTTCAGAGCCATTGATTGACAATGCTGATGTGTTACATCACATGATTTTATACGGGTGCAAAGATACAGGTGGGTGTTTTTTTCACTTAGATTTGAAAAGTCCTTCTCTCTCCCCTCTCTCTCTAATCAAATCTATCTATATTTCCATTCCAGTGAACGCGACATCTACTCCCGAGAGCTGTGGAATGGCCAAGGAAAACTGCAATGATATGATAGCGCTCTGGGCTTTAGGATTTACTGGTGAATGCCTTCATAAAGATACTGGTTTCAGGATTGGAATTAATGGAATCAAGAAAGCTACGTTAGAGGTAAATTAAAGGAACAATATACATGCACATGCTAATATTTTTTTTTATTTTTTGATAACATCTTACTGAAATTCAAAATAAACAAGAGGCAGAGGGGCCACATCGCTCACCTGAGCAACTAGCTAGGTAAAAGCAAAAATCAGTTTAGTATTGAAAAAAATTAAATATAAAAGTGGGTTCGAGAGGGTGTATTTGAACAAACTTAAATCTACATTACTTTTTTATGCTTTTATATTGATGATCAATCATGGTTTTCTTGTTCTTGTGAAGAATTTTAACAATTTATCCGATGTATTCCTACATAAAACATTGATCACCCATTATGGTCCCACTCTACCCCAGGGGTCATAATTTGAACAAACTTGAAACTACACTATCCTATCCAAGGATGCTTCCATAGAAATATGAATAATCACACCTTTGCTGTTATCGAGAAGAAGAATTTTGAATATTTTTTCTATGTTATCCTTCTTAAAACTTTGATAATCTATTATGACCCCAGGGATTATGACTTGAACAACTGGAATCTACACTACCTGAGGATGCTTTCATATTACTATGGCTTTGATGTTCTTGAGAAGAAGATTTTTGAAGATTTATTTCTTTGTATTGCTATGTTAAACTTTGATACCCCATTGTGTCCCCACCAAACCCCCTGGGGTCATGATTTGAACAAACTTGAATCTACACTACCAGAGGATGCTTCCATATAACTATGACCAATCAAGGCTTTGCTGTTCTTGAAGAGAAGATTTGAACAGACTTGAATTCCCTTTACCCAAGAATACTATGTGACAAGTTTGGTTGAAATTGGTCCATTGGTTCTTGAAAAGAAGATGAAAATGTAAAAAGTTTACGACGACGACAGACAACGGACAAATTTTGATCAGAAATCTCACTAGAGTCTTCGGCACAGGTGAGCTTAAAAGGAAAAATAAACTATATCAAACCTTTAAGTATCAAATATAAGTACATATATTTGATTAAAACAAATGAGTAATAAAAAAGATTTTTTGAAAAGTTCTTAACCTAGGTTAGAAAGAAAGACCACATCTTAAATCGTTTACTGCCGGGATTGATATCGATTAATGTTTTTACACTTAACTCTTTATAGCCTGTGTAAGGAGCATCATCAAGTATTCATGCATATTTGAACACTAATGTTCGTTGAAGAATCACTTCACTTTTAAAAAGACTTAAAATTATTGATAATTTTCACTATTAATAATTTAACAAATTGTGAACACCTCTTATATCCATCAAATACTAGTTTTAGTGACATGACACCTTCTCTGAAAAACCCAGCGAGGTATCTGTCCATTTTAGACAGTTCTATTTTTTTCAGATTCACTGGAATAACCCTGAGAAAAGGACAGACTATATGGATGGATCTGGCATGTATTTATTCCTCACAAAGTCAAGAAGAGTCCATGACGCGGGGATTCTGATGGTTGGACAGAATTACATTCAAATTCCCCCACGCTCCCCTCGAGTTGTGGTGACAGCGAACTGTTCCCGTGCCGACACTTCACGATTTATAGTAAATGGACCAGTCTACTTCACCCGTGCACTGAATCATATGCATTACTTAGGTATTTTTTGTTCTATTATCCTATATTCAGAAAAATTTTTTTTTAAGATTTTTAGTATAATATTAAAGTATAATGTTTAAAGAATGTTCCTCTTTCGCGATAACCGGTATACTGATCATTCTGTGTCCATTACCAACATACCTCTAAACTTACATCAAATATAGTGGCTAGAACATTTACATGAATAGAAATTTCTTCCAGCGATGGGACATGATGACATATTTGTTTTAAATAAAATGCAGGCCGAAATGTTTTTCAGAAATGTTTCCTTTTTCATACAATTCCTTATTTTGCCCCCTCCCAAATCATTTTATTGAAACTTCCTGGTATATTGCTAATATATTTTGTTTTATTTTCAAAGTCAAGGATAGAGGTTCAAACCGCTTACTAGTATCTTTATTACATATAATTTACACAATAAGCAGATAAGTAAAACGTCATAAAGTATATAAATTTATATGTATATCTATTATCTACTTGCGCATTTCAGGAAGAGAAATGAGGTTGGAACATTACAGGGAAGGAAATAAGTTGCGGGACCTAACTTATGAAACCGACTACAGTTATGATAGTCCTAAAACATTCGAGTCAGACATGAATACTTTTTATTTCAAGAAAGACAAATTTTTCTTGTTTTTAAAGAGCAAATTACTTTTACAATTTCTGTTAAAAATTGGAGCCCACGGTAATGCCCATCTAGAAGTTCAATTCAGTGAGTAGAATACTCCAATGCTAGGTCCGAAAGTATTTAATAGTCCAATTGGTTGTTTTATTGAATATAAGTAACCAATATCTTAACATTACTCATTCTATCTTCTTGTATATTTTTGCATAATATTATACTTTATTCAAAGACTCTCTTTAGATGAGGTATAAATCATATTTGGCCAATACTAGTATCTAATTAATACGTCTTAACTGATCAAAAATGTGCCCGTTGAGTTCAGGCTTTGAAAAAAAAAAATATTTTAAGATTCAACTTTCTATTTAACTTTGCAGATTTTCAACACCTGTCGAGTTCAGACCCGGCGACGAGATAATCACGAGATGTGTCTATTCTTCTACGAGCAGAAACAAGACTGTTTACAAAGGTGACGCAACAAATGACGAAATGTGTTTCGGATTTCTCACCTATCACCCAAAAGAAAGCCTCACTGTGACCAGATGTACACAGTGGCAAGACATAAGCGAGAATGCTCTATATTCTTATGGAGATAGAGTCCGAGTTGTGAATGGTTGTAATGTTACGGCGTTTAATGATGATAACCATCCTGTTACGGCCTCTTTTATAAAGACCGTCCTCGAAAACTGCGAAATGCTCACCGGGTGCACATCAGAATGCCGTAGATTTTTACCAGAAGCAATGAAAAATCCATGTGTAAATGGCAGTATGGGGGCTTATTACCGGGATTTAGCCGTGGAACGTAGCTGGAATTCACGTTTTGCTTTGTTTACAGCTCTCGATTCCTGTAACACGGAGATTGCACAAGAAACTTGCCAGTCTAATTGTTTGGAATCTTGTGAGACGTTCAGTAACGCAGTCAGCAAAGCAACGTCAGCAACACTCATGATTTCAATCTTGATCACCATCATTTATTGTTTCTAAGAATTGAAATATTTTTTTATCAGGGACGTAAGTTGAGGATAGCTAGCACTCACCCTTTTGCAATATAATAACACACCCATAATATGCATGTTGTGCAAGAACGAAGCCAATGTATATTTATCTTATTGTAAAAAAGAATGAAAAATTGCACTGCATTATACATCCTGACCATTCCATTTATAGTTAATGAAAGTCAGAATTCTAGGGAAAAAACAAAACTGACTATTAGTCTTTACACCTTTCCGAGGACACCGAAAATAATGCTGGAAAGGGTAACCAGCCACCACGTTTCCATATGATTGCAATAACAATGTCAATATATAGAGTGGGGAATCTTTCAAGACCACAGTGTAACAAATGTGAATGTAAAAAGACTTTAAAAATCACAGAAATTTGAGCGGCAAGTATAGTCATGGACATTGGTATATTACAAAAGACCTAATATGCATGATGTCTCTATTTCAGTCAAATGACTTCTGTCACAGTCAGGTCTCCATCACTTGTACAGCAAAGAATCTGGGTTGATTAGGCGAGTCATATGCCTACGCAAAGGCAGGTAAAATATTGATTAAAAAATTCTTGCAAATTCAACTTTTTGTTAAATTTGGGAGTTATTTATAACCATATGCATACAGTAAAGATTAAACCTGAATCAAATGACTTACAAATTGATTGTAATTAACACACCAAAATGGTAACACGCCTTAAAAACTATAAAAATGATAGAAATGGAATGTTAAAACTGTGTTTTTTATATAGAGTGGGTCTTCGTACCATTTTTTCGTAAACAAATATTGAAAGGGTGTGGAAGGATGTATCTCTCACCATTTTCAAAAAAATGGTACGAAGACCCACTCTATATAAAAAAGTTAGTTTAGCTACTTAAAATTCGGAGCATATTCTCAAAAACTCCAAGTCTAATTGTGCGTATACATAATTATAGAACTGTTTGCTATTTAAAGGGCACTGTATGTGCGACTTCGTGGCTCAGTAGTCATAGCGGTGGTGTTGAAGTACCTAGTTATTTGTCGCGAGTGTTCGAATCACGATTTTTTAAGTTCAGGTTGAAATTTACATAGATATATTTTTTCACTGAAAACAAAATGAATAGATAAGATGATGAATTTATTTACGGCCAATTAATATATTTCCTTTAATAAACAAGTTTTCAAGATACATGTGTATATAATATTTTGAATGCATTCAGTTCAAGACTACATAACACGATTGAAATGTATATAATCATTGGTAGACCAGCACGATATGGCTATTCTGCATGCAAAAACAGTTAAAAGGAAAGGTAAAGCGTGCCATTTCCAACCCTCTGAAAACATATATGATAGAACAATTAACACGCAGTATGAAAAGCATCACGTTAAAAAATATTGTAGCAGTAACTGCAAGGTCTAAAGATATAGAAATTGTCATCTGGACAGTACTATACAAAGTTTAAATGTTTAGGTAAATCGTATCGTACAACTATAAAATTTCCGATATGCTTACAGAGCGAAAAAATCCGTGTGGGCATATGACTCGCCTAATCCACCCAGATTCTTTCCTTTAATTTGTTCCTTTGAAAGCTTGATTATGGAATTATTGATATTGCCAAACATAAGATTTTCTGTCATATAAGAGCGTTAAGACACTAGGGATAAATAACTTATTTTAAAAAAGAGAACAGGTAAACTGATAGATGGTGGTTTGCATTAGAGCGAATTATCAATGGAACGAATTACTATTTAACCAAGGCAAAATGAAAGTAGATTTCAAATCAAAATAGAAACCGAAATGTGACTATAATCGCAAATTTATTTGTGGTTTTAAATTGAATTAATTAAATTAAGAAGTTCTTAGCGTATATACGACAATTCTGAGACATGTATGTGATTGAATTTAACGTATATACATGTAGACGCAATTAAGCAGATATGTATGCATGTACAGAAAACTAGGACAGAAGGTAAGATTTGCATTTGGGTTAGGCTAATCTGTTAATATTTTAAAGTTTGGTTGGTCTTTTGGTTATATTTTCATTGTTTGTTCTTTTATGAGGAAAACAAATCTGATATTCCGATTCAGAAAGTCAAATTAATACTGTTTCTAACTTTCTCAATAATGTTGAACAATATACAGTGTACACTTATCCACTGGTTGTGAGTTAATCCGAGATTCCTCTGACTCTAACCCCCGCTTTTATATTATGACTTGTGCGGGGGAGAGTCAGAGCGGACTCCATATTGAAAACTGGGAATTTGGCGAAACTAACTGGTGTCGCGACTCTGCCTACCTTTTACAACTTTATTTCGCGGAGCTAACTCCCGAGACGCGAGAAATCAGTAAAATGATTATTATTCTACTTGTTAATCGTCATTACAATGATGCTACCGCCGTTTAAACGGTCCTATCACCGACAAATAAAGCATCACTTGAATAAGGTCGCCTCCTCGCCATTTGACTTCTTTGCGCATGACGTCACACACAAATACACAAACAAAACTATCACGTGAAAATATCATGTTTGGTGTTAATGCTGTTTTTAACCTGAATTTTAGCATAGAAGTCGTTTTTGACAGTTGCTTTCCTTATATATAAATAAATGAAACATCATTATATTGTTTTATGTATTTTTTCACAACACTTTCACATTTTTCCGAAAGGTCCACACGTGTTTTGAGCACGTGTTACTTTGGAATTTTGTGTATTTGTGTGCTGACGTCATGCGCAAAGAAGTCGAATGGCGAGGGGGCGACCTAATTCAAGTGATGCTTTATTTGTCGGTGATAGGACCGTTTAAACGGCGGTAGCATCATTGTAATGACGATTAACAAGTAGAATAATAATCATTTTACTGATTTCTCGCGTCTCGGGAGTTAGCTCCGCGAAATAAAGTTGTAAAAGGTAGGCAAAGTCGCGACACCAGTTAGTTTCGCCAAATTCCCAGTTTTCAATATGGAGTCCGCTCTGACTCTCCCCCGCACAAGTCATAATATAAAAGCGGGGGTTAGAGTCAGAGGAATCTCGGATTAGTTGTGAGTGGGATAGCTCTTTTATCAAACCCGCGACAGAGAACTATTCCCCGAGGGCTTGCCCGAGGGGAATAGTCCCTGTCAAGGATTTGTTAAAAGAGCTATCCCACTCACAACCAGTGGATAAGCGTTTTATAATACTGATGTATAATATAATTTCTAAGGTTTGAATTTTTTGGAGTTAGATAATACTTCAAGAATAATCTGAAATCCTGATGACTTCACAATGCTAGTGGAGTTTTATGACATCATCATCAGTCTATAGATTTATCGCTGGAAATCAAAATTGGCAGCAAAAATTGCATGAAAATTTTCCGAGGGTGGATAGCAAAAACTATACCCCGGGGTATAGCTTTACTATGCGTGGACTATAAAAGGTAGTTATTTTACCTTCTGAACTCTATATCGGAAACATTTTAACAGAATAATAAACATTGAAAAGGCCCAGTCCAATTTAAAGACTATTTATACCTAGGTATCTATTAAAAGCCACGTAGGTATTTAAACCTACCAAAAGTAGCTATTCTTACTTACTTTCTGCTTTACTTGCATTTTGTGGTCAAACGCAGGAACGGCGCAACATAGTGAGCTCCAAATTTCTTGACAAAGTCACGGTGATGATGGATATAACAAAAATTTGGCCAAAAAATTACTTCGTATATTATCAATTTTGCGTAGAAACTAATGTAAAATTGCCAATTCAGAAAGTAATCATTTTTGGACCAAAATTTTGTTGTATTCATCATCAGTGTGACTGTATCAAAATATGGTATTCATCATGTTGCGCCTTTTGGTCTTTTGGCCACAAAATGCAAATAATACAAAAAGTAGGTAAAAATAGCTACTTTGGGTAGGTTTAAATACGTAGGTACTATTAATAGCTACGTTATCTCAGTTTGAATGGTTTTAAGGTCATATGCAACGTAGTTTGAACTTTTTAGTCTTTTTCAATGGAGTTGAAGAGTTCCAATTCTTGAAGGAACTGTGTGGTAATGCATGCTAATTTTTTTGTCTATGAACATCTGATGACCTTATAAGCTTAGATTAAGAATATCGTGAAAAATTATCAGTTGGTAACTAGCTGCAATAATGTAGCCCTCTCCTTTTGGGGGGGGGGGGGGGCAACAACTCCTTAGAATCTCCGTAATGGTGCAGAGCGGGAGCACGGATTTCGGCTTAAATTGTTAGTAAACGGCTATTTTATTTATATGTCTTACCTGGACTTCCAAAATGTAGTTATCCCAGACATAAATCGATCCAAAAATATACAGAACAATCCATATATCAGTATTTTTCGTGTATGTCAACATCACAACTTAAATTTATCCGCCATGTTTACTGACCTTGACAGATTTTATTTCGGGACAGCCAATGAGATTAAGGATCTATAGGGAGTGGATTTCTTTGGAATTACCTTATTTTAAGCTTAAATATCGGTGTTTACAAAAAAATGAATCATGGAATGATTTTATTTATCGATGTTAAGTGTTACTATTCATCACAATATATAAACATCGACACTTGCTTTATTGAGTTGTTCTAAATTTCAAGCGCAAGTCTCACTACGTCACGCGTGAACTGTCATGGCTGCTGAAGTAAATGCATAGATTTATTTTACATGGTTTTCGCGTTTAACGAGCTTTGATGTCGACAGTGAATAAAAATTTCGTCTTATTAGAAGTAAGTTGGTTGTGAAAACAATTTATTCTGCCTGCAGTCGCCAGTATTTACAAAATATTTTTGCACCATTACGGAGATGCTGTGGAATTGTAGCCCTCTCCAGAAAATAACAGATAAAAAAAATCGGAGAGGGCTACATTATTGCAGCTGGTTGGTAACGTGCGTTTTGTATGTCCTTAACTGCATTAAAAAGTGAATAAGTATCTTACAAACTTACACAAGATTATACATCATAGAGACAATATCTGTCGGCTATACCAAAATGGCCAATGTTAACTTATTACTTTTATCCCTGCCAATTTTACCGATTTATTACGCGTTGTTAAATTGTCTAAGAAATGCACCTACATCAAAATTGATTGTTGGCTATTTTCACAGGTTCATAGGCCAGGTAGGCCACTAGAAATGCGTGAATAAAATGGAAGAACTATCATTCTGTAACAAAAGACTTGTGGAAATCCTGGTCGATAACCAGTGGATGTATAACTTTCAAGTAACAAGATTCTTTATTGAGGAACCCTGGAAGTCACTTCCTCCTGAGGTATGGATTAGTGAGATTTTAGATAAATTATTTTGCATTTCTTTTTTCTATCATCCAAAACGGGTATTTACCTGGCATTTTCTCCCTTTTAAAAAACATATTGCATGTATATACCAGAAATGAGCAGCTAGAATTTGTCAACAGGGTTGTAAGAAAGTATTTCAGTCAAGTTTATAATCCTTTTCGGTTCTGGTGAATGATGCTCATTTTGCAAATACTTCACCAAGACATCAAACTTAGTCGAAAGTGCTGTCATTGCATATTCTATTAAAATGGTACATCTTTTGCAGTTAAAGGTTGATTTCATTAAAATTAAATAATTGTAAAAATATATTAAATGTTTCAAAGGGAATAACAATCAAACATTAATTTTGTGAAAGAAAAATTAACATGTTGCTATAACCAAACTTTATTCCTTGCTTGATTTTCAAAAGAAAATACATAAAATTTTAATTGATCTGACTTGAAGCAGTCTATAACAATTTTTAAAAGTGAATCAACGTCAGAGCTACATTTTCCATACAGAAAATATGGACGTGTCGGTGTGATTAATGTCGTTGGAATCCTGAATCCACACTTTATCTCCCACACGAAGCTGGACATATATCTGACAAACCTGAAGTATAGTCTGTCCAACCGCAAAGCAGCCTGGCTGGAGCGTGTTGTTCACCACGAAAGGCGACATATTTCTGATTGTGTGAGGAACTATTCCATCTGTCATGCGCAGTGTGTACATCCCGTCTTCCGGGACTGTGTATATTCCTGTGGCGCTGTCATAGCTTGGCGGAACATTGATGGAGATGTTTGAAAATATGACAGTTTTGTGCTGTAGCATATTTCCTGGGGCGCCATAAGCCGAAAACACCACATTGTGATTTGCTTGAGAAAGTGAAAGTAAAATACGTTGATTAAGTAAAAATTAAACTTTTCATAGACATTGTAAGCAGATATAAAAATAAACCAATTCAAGAGTGGGAAGGATCAAATTTAACAGTGATTGATTTAAGAAAAGGTTCCACACCTCCTAGTCTATGTACATTGTAAAACATCGAACATTGAATCTAAACACAAACTCTAGATGTGGGTTAACAAACCTTCGTCAAAGACATAAATACTAGTATACATGTACCGGGGGTATACATTCAAAAAATACATAAAATTATTACAAGATTATAGATTAACACATTTTCGTAAACATAAACATTTATTTTCTTGAAGTGTGAAGTTTCATTCCATTTGATTAAATAGAACTCATGTTAGCCAAAATTTAAACCAACATGTTTTGTTACCACGGAGCACGGTTAACCAACATTGTAGCGTCAAAGACAACGTTGAGAAAGTTTGTCAAAATTATAGTAATTTTTTTAAATTTCAAACACAGTTTGTAGCGTCTTCTCCATTCAAAAAACATATCCATAACACTTAACACCTAGTTTGCGAACAATTGTACAAATATAGCTTGAATAAGAATGTCATTGTTTTCAAATTCTTTAATTTACCATGTAACTCTATTAATTCTGCAACAGTGAAGCACACATTACGTTCAGTGACGTTTCGAACTCTTTCGACAATATTTTTAACTTTAACCTGTTTCTTTGAAGACAATCCATCGTCAGATTCAAACTCGCCACCACTCAAAAATTGTATTTTCCATTTAATACAAATACACAGATTATTTTTCATACAGATCCTGGTTTATACGGATTTTTTTAGCTTGTAGAAGAAGTTTCCCAAATGTACAGTACAATTTTATTGATACTTGCTGCTCCGTGACGTCCTCTAACGTTATGGTTTTTGGCTTTTTTGAATCAAGTCCATATGTATTTAGATACTGATATCTTTAAAATGGAGCGACATATTACATAACCTGATTTGATTTTAATTAATACAGCAATACTTTATTCAAACATGTAAATTTTATTTCGTTTCAGCTCCATTTATTAGAGGTATTGCTATAAATACTATAAAGTGAAAATTAGTAAATTACTCAATTTTGACGGTGCTCCGTGACCACTTTTTTGCTGTTCTAAATCCTTGGTAATTTTAATAAATATGAAGATACATTCCAACTTTTTTGCTCAAATTATTTGAATCTGTTGTTAAAAAATTTGTACCAAATTTGGATATAATATGACATTAAATAAAAAAGTTAGGACAAAAGTCTACGAACTTTTTGAATGACCCTCGTACATGTATAACATTTGCCCAAAACTATTCTAAGCTATGATATCTCAACGAAGTTCCAATGAGATTTTAGTTTTGTAAATATATGCATTTGTGTATCTTGTCTGCCTGTGTTAAACTTTTGGAGAAGGTCTGTATATGTTGATGCAGGACAAAAGTGTTTTCTTATATTGTTCTTCAAAGGCTACTGTAACCTTATATATCCAGATGAATAACCAGCTCTATCTTTATTGTATTTACCAAAATTGATACTTAGATTAATCATAATTTGGATGTTGCATCTGATCTACCTGTATTTTATCAAGATTAAAGGACACATTTAATGTTTTGCGATAACGCTATTCCATAATTTTATTGTTAGCTCCATCTTGAACAATTTGAATGGGCGATATATAACAATTCCTTTCTTCATATGGTATAGTCAGCAGAGTAACTAATGCAAATTAGTCATTTCTTAATTGTTTGTACATTCATTTAAAATAAAATGTAATCTCACTCAGAGTTATTCTGTAAGCTGATTCTTTAAAGATAATTAACAGACCCTTCCCATTCTGAATGCGAATACAAATCATGGATCTGTTAATGATAATTCATAACATAGTTTAGCTTAATCATAACATATTTTTATACTTACAGAGTGTTAGCTTAACATTAAATTCACTGGAAATATTTTGAAATTCTTTCTGTATTCGTTGTTCAAAAACTCTCTGTTCCGTCTGGATAAAAAGAAAAGAGTTGTTTGTGGCTTTTTCCACAACCAGGAGATCTGCGTTAAATTTGTTTACATCACTTTTTAATTGCTGCTCAAGGTGCTTGGTCTTAGAATCCAGTGACGTCACCGTTCTTTGCAATTGATCGTTCTGTGACGTCAGAGAGGCCACTTTGGACTTCAGTTCATTTATTTCCACCTGCATATCATGGGACATTGTTCTGTAATTCGACATTTCATTGAGAAGAAAAGTCAACATCTGGGAGTCCACTGCTTGTGAGAACTTAATAAAAGTCACTACCATTACTATCTGGCATATAAGAACTCTTCTCATTGTCCCCGCCATGAATTTTCCTTTTAGAACAAGTTCTTTGCTTATCTGATATATTTTCCCGCAAAAAGTCGTACAAATACCAAGTGGTCCCTATACACTGAGTTTTTACCCTACTTAGACGAAACGCTTTTTCAAAAAGACAAATCTTGGTGTCCTTTCTGAAATCAAAAAGTAGCAAAATATCTTGTTACCCTCACAATAAAGGTATGGTTTAATAGATAACCTTCAAAATGTAACCCTTATAATTCTCTGGTATATTTAGTCTGTTTATCTTCTGGAGATCAAATAATGACAATTTAATGCAACGTATGCTTGGATTTAGAACTATGTCTTGGAATTAAATCGATTTAGTTTCTTCATTGTTATTTTTTTTTTACATTAATGATTTTTCCCCTTATTCCATATAGTTATTCTAAAATTTTACCCTGTACATAATTAAGAGAAAGATAAGTCCGATGTCTAATTGAATTTATTATAGATTTTTATAACTCCAGTTTAAAATGCATGATTCGTAAAGTTTTCAACATAATTGCTGACTTATTACTTTGCGTATTAATCAAATATATTCTTTCTTTTTTAATCAGTGGAGGGAAGACTTATTGAATCTTACGACGGAAGAACTAAATTCACTCCCTTTTGGATACGTGCAGGTTTGTATATTTCTAATTGAGCGTTTCTCTTTCACTCAAGTGTAGATCTGTTTAATAAAAAAATATGATTTTAACGTCTCAGAATGCTTATATAAATATATATTTAAATTAAATAATTATATAACATTAATTATATTCATTAAAAGGACGATTGGACTGAAAGTCTACGAAAGTATATATCCTCAGCAACAGAACTCGTGTTGCCAAGGAATCTTTCAGAGGAAATTCAACCATGTACTCTTACTTCTGAACTCAAACGGGGAATGAACCCTAAAAAACAACATGAAGTAAGGCATATGGCAGCTCTTGTTAGTGATATAGCGACCAAGACAGGATGTGACGTAGTGATTGACGTTGGATCCGGTCTGGTAAGAACTTTTGTTAAACAGCAGAACTTATTTTAATAGTTACAGATAGATATAAACTTAAATGGATTTAACAAAACAAGTGTGATGCTTTCTTTGATCAAAAAGAATGACGAATGACGATTTTTGATACATGTATTTTGATGCAAATGATGATAAAATATTGTTAAATGATTAAAAAAAATCTATTTCTGCAAGGGATATCTTGGTCATGTATTGAGCACTGTGTATGGACTTAAAGTAATTGGCTTAGAGAGCAAGTCAACTCATACGTCAGGAGCAGATAAACGTTTGTTTTCAGGTACGTTTGCAGTTAAAATATGTATCATACTACTAAAATGCATGTTCAAAATAAATTTATTCGACCGTAACGAGTTAATTTCTTATGTTTTGTTTTTCCAGAAAATAACGAAAATATCATGAATGTGACTTTTGAGATGAATGACTCTGAAGATAGTTTATCGAATTTTAACACATTAATTAGTTCATGTTTGGAGAAATTTAAAAAAGCAGAACGTGAAAAAGTTCCGGACGATGGAAACTTATCTTCATCTTGGTCGGAAGTGCATTCATTGAACAGTGCAGTTCGTAACTCTAATGAAAATGGAAACGGTGCTGATGTAACCGGAATTGGAGTGGAGAATAGTGAATTAGACACGTGTCTCCTGATTGGACTTCACTGTTGCGGAGATTTGACTCCCGCAATGCTCAGGATGTATTTGGAAGTGACGTTTGTGAAAGGACTTTGTTGTGTTTCCTGCTGCTATCACAGAATGACTAAACATGGTATCTCATCTAGTATTTATTCTTCTTGAATTATAAAACACTGGATGATTTGTAAATTTTGTCTCTTGGATATCAATGTAATCAGAGAGGCCAATTCACAAAGGAATGAGGAAGTGATTTTTCTTACACACCCTCAAATGTAATTACATGTACGATATATTTTTTTCTAGGATCGAAGTATACACATTTCCCAATGAGCAGGGATACCGAAGCCACTTTGTCCAAATTTGATCTCAGACCCACAATTCCCTTTTTAAGACTAGCAGCACAAGAAACTAGGTTTGCTTAAGAAACAGTGATTTTGGTTAAAATTCAGGACATTTGAAATTTGTTCCGTTATTGTGATAAGGATTGGAAGGCAGAGAAATAAAACTTATATGTTTTCACTTAAGGGCTCGTTGGAAAACACTCTCTGAAGATTCACACCAAAGTCATACGAATGCTGTAGCTTATAGAGCACTTCTGGAGCTATGTGCATACAAAGGTGGGTGATTTGAAAAACATAATAATAATATGTAAAGTTTTTGTGTCTAATGTAGGATAATTGTTATCACTGGGTTTAAGTTTATCATTGTCTGTTATTTTCAGAAAATACAGAATGTAACAAGCTTTTTCGAAGAATAGCAACTGCAAAAGATTTCGCTGACTTCGAATCTTACGTAGATAAAATTTTATCACGCTGTGAATTTACTTCCAGACAAGGTAAGAATTTAAACTGTAGGATCACTTGTCTTAATTCAAGGTGTTTTCATTTGATCGATATAACAGTTTGCTTGCTTTCTGACAGGGAAAGAATCCATAAAAGATAAGCTCAATTTGCTGTACGAGGAATACAAAGGAAAATTTCCGTACATAGAGGTTATCACGGTGTGTATATTATTCTTATCTCTCATTATCTTTCGAAATTCTTTGAGTAATGAAATTCAAACTTTTGCAAGTTGGAATACTAAATTTACTGTTAAGCTCCTGTATGCGAAATGCTCAAGTGATTTTTTTTCCTGATTGACATCGGTCAGTCCTACTGTGAGTACTGTCGTTCTTTTGTTAACCGTTTTCACCTCTTTTGAATTCTTCCGATCTATGCAGTTAATTTCAACCAAACTTGCCAAAAAGTATCTTAGCATAAAGGAAATTCTAGATGGATTGAATAGGGAATTTTCCCTTTTGAAGAAAAAATGCGATGCAATGAAAATTAAAAATAAAATAGCCATAAGAGGCAAAGCTTGTGTAAAGGCTTCTTGAAAAATTAAAAGTCCTTGATGGTTTAGTTAGTTTGAGTCCACCGCGAAAAGATAAAAAAAAATCATCGTAAACTTCGCCTTATAATGGGAAACCTGCGATGAATCAAAGTGATATATAAACATCATTTTAATAGTGCAGATTCAAGTTTTCAAATAAAGACCTTTTCCAAGGGGTCAAATGTACAGTAATGTGCAAGTATTCTCCTGTAACTTTGGTACCATATATTAATCAGCATTAAACCCAGGTCTTGGAGTTTGACCTCTATTTGAGAAACTTGAATGTTGATATAATGATACAGGTGCATCAACGTTCCAAATGCATATTCTATGTTGATTAGGAACTGCAGGATATCAATAACTTAAGATATCCGAACGTCAACATAATATAAAACAGTTCCTATAATCTGCAAGATACAGGTATTATACAGGTATTGCAGATTGTAGGCCCTGTACCTACAATTACCTTGTGGAAGAGACACATCATTGAAATACATTTAAATCAGTCATGTTCATTATAGACTGTAGTCTAGACTGACTTACCACAGTTTTGAGATAAATGTAATATGTTTCCTTAATAAGGATAGCCTATTACGTTGAATGCATATATAAACATAGATATACATGTAAGTAGACACGTTGAATTAAAAATCGCCTTCTGTAGAAGGTATTAATGTACATGTAAAAATTTGATTCAGACGAGCGCAGTGTCCTATTGGTCTCTTGTTTAATTTTTTGCAGGTTCTTCAAGTTATACTACAGCCTCTGATAGAAAGATTAATCATTCAAGATCGTGTTTTGTGGCTGCTAGAAAACGGACAAAATGCGTATCTTATGCCTGTGTTTGACGATGCCATATCTCCGCGCAACATTGCTGTATGTTCCATGAAAATAAATTAAATACACAACATAACAGACTTGAATTTTATTTTTCATGAAATCGTTGTCTAAAATGTTAATTATTATGAATTTTAGAAAGATAGATTGAATCACAAATATGAAGCAATGACTGTTTTTCTGTTGATTATGGATGAGACTAAAATTTGGCGCTGGAATATATTAAAGAGACATGGACACAGTTTCAATGATTTTTAAAAACAAATTTTAATGTTTACAATTCCTTACTAAGGCATCATCTAATATTATCAGCAAAAAATTTGAACATCATTTGTTGATTAACAAACGAGATACAAAACTTAAAAATCTTTATAATATTAACAAGGCTTGTGCCTCGTTTTTGTTTACATATACATGTAGAAAGCAATATATTTTTAACAAAACTGAAATTCAGCAACACTAGAAATTGTCTTATCGTATTTAAAATTAATTTCATTATTGAAAATATCTGCTGTGAACGAACCTATTTTAGTATATTAACCTTTGTACACAAAAACATGTTTTACATAATAACAAAGGTTTGGAGCTCTGAATCTGTCTTGTATCTCGACCACGTACATTCAAATTTTTGATGCATGATCATTAGAAATACCTTACTTAAATATTTGTAACAAGACGTGTTTGTGAAACACTATGCGCCCGGCGGCAACAAAGTTCTAAAGAGCAATTTTTAGTTAATGGGTCACAGTCAAAGTCACATGATCATTGTCCTTGGTTTCATTTCAAAGCACTTAATTAGTGGAGTATGCATACCAAATATGAAGTCTCTATCTCCTATGGTTCATAAGTTATGCTGAAATTTCGAAAAAGCTATTTTCAGCATATAGGTTACAGTTAAAGTCACAATGTCATTGACCTTGGCGTTATTTTAAGGAGCTTAATTATCGGAGTATGCATACCAAATATGAAGACTCTATCTCCTATAGTTCAAAAGTTCGAAAAAGCTATTTTTAGCATATAAGTCACAGTCAAGGTCACAAGGTCATTGACCTTTGTGTCAGTTGAAAGTGCTTAATTAGTGGAGTATGCATACTAAATATGAAGTATCTGTGTCTCACGGTTCAAAAGTTATGGCGAAGGTTAAAGTTGACAACAGACAAACAAACAGATAAACAGACAGACAGGACAAAAACAATATATGCCCCGAATAAATTCGGGCGCATAAAAATGGAAAAATAAATTTGAAAATGTTTAGATATAACTGTGTCCATATCCCTTTAATTTGGGAAAGTTAGTACTAATGAAAGGAACAGTATACAAAAACAGTAGAGTCTAAAATCTGGATATTGACCTTCCATCATCTATTTCATCATTAGATGTTTTACTGACTATGTAGACGATATATGTAGGGTAAATGATAAACGAGATGACATCAGCTTTTCCATCACCTGCTTAATTATAAAGTATATCCTTTCTTATATTGCGAAATGAGGGACACCTACAATGCTATTATTAATCAATAGATCAATGTCACAGTAACTTCCAACACAATATGCATGCACATCAGTGCAAATCAAGAAACAACAGTTCAACTGGCTAAAAACCACTAATCAATTACGTTTTTTACTTCAATAACGTCAAATTTTGCTAACTTCTGAGCTTTAGTTCCATCCAAAGAACAATGTTATGAGTGTTAATAAAGTAATATCTTATATAATAACATATTATGTAAATATGATTTATTTGAAATTTTGTCCTCAGAAAATAATACGTCTGATAAAGGTTTCATTGTGTTGACAAGAATTACAACTTCCAGCCCATAAATTGTGAAGTGGAACAGTGAAAAGGCCCCTCATAAAAGTCCCGAGTCCAGACCTGGTCCCCTGCATGGAGGGGGAGAATAACGAGGCAGTCCGAGAGTTCTGATATCAAATGATTGTCTCCCCGACATCCACTTACTCGACTTCTGTTCACGATGAAGGGCGTGGCGTTTGTGATGTTATTGATGCTCAGATCCGTCATGTAGAATACGAACACGCCCTCTGTAGGAGCAGTGAATATACCGGAACTTGAGTTGAATGCGCCTCCTACATTTGTAGAAACATTTGGATACAAAATCCCTTTCAGTTGAAATTGGTTAGCAATGGCTCCTGTTGCAGAAAATGCTACGTTCTTTCCTTGCACTGAAAAAATAAGTAAAATATTTATGTGAATTGATTGTCTCTTTTATCGTCCAATCCGAAATATGGCAAATATATTGGCGACTCTGCGTTAAACAATAATGATCAATCAATTCAATGGTAATTTATGCATGTTTTATTTTGGAGTTCCATTGGGAATGTCGAAATTTAGTAAGTTTAAGTTACACACTGTGAACTGTAAGTCTTGCAATTTTTGGCCTTAGAAATAAAATCATTCTAGGAACAAATTAATTTTAATTATAGAAAGGTACATGTACTTACATGCAAGTTGATCAACTGAACTTTTCGTGAAATTAAGAGCTGACTGCAATCCATTTACTTTGCTTTCTAGTTCAGAAAAGGTCTTTTGGCTAACAATGTTAGTATGTCCAGCTGAACAACATTTCAACTGCAAATCTTGAACAGTATTTAATGAGTTTTTTAGCATTTCTATTTCTAATGACACATTTTTCAGTGTTCCCTCTAAACGCTTTTCAAACAAATTTTGTTCGAGTTGAATGAACAACACAGAAACATTTGTGGCTTTATCAACTACTGAAATATCGTTCTCGAGTTTACTGACGTTGTCCACAATTTGTTGTTCCAGTTTATCATTCTTCGTTTTCAAAGTAGCAATAGCTTGATTTAACAAAATATTCTGTCGTGTCAGATCGGCGTTTACCATAGTGACGTTAGCAAGTTTAGTTTGAAGAGATTTTATATCCGTTTTTAAGGAATTCAGTTCTGACCTGTAATTTGTCATTTCATTTAACAAAAATGTTGTCAATTGGCTGTCCTGTCCATAAGATTCCAGAAACTGTCCCACGAACAAAAAGAGAAACAACTTTTGCAACATGATTGACCAACACGAAAGATAAACGTTCTCCTCTAGTTGTCTGAGCAATATGTCGCCAAATACTTTCATCACGGACTTTGAGGATTATTTTCGGGTTTGGCTTTGTATCAATTCAGATAAATTCAAAAGACTTGACCTTCTTCCCCCTGGTAATGTAAGTAATGTTCAGTTTGTTTTGAAATAGGAATTGGCCTTTATTATTGAGATACTTTATCTCATTCGATTTATCATGGATTTGTAATATCAAATGGAAAAGTAGAGGAGCTCTTTGGTTTTGTTCAATCTATTTTTAACTTAGTCTTAGAGGAGCGAGAGTTACCGGTATCTTTACCAGTGCTAGGTCATCTATTTATAATTATATGTGGGTTTTATTGAAATTGAATATCCAATTAATAAATAACTTTAATGTCATCTCAAATTTAATGATAAAATGATTGCAAAAAACCAAGATACAATGTATATGTCATTTATTAAAAAAAAATATGTCGCCGCCTTCTCCTTGATTACGTAACGCAAATAATAAAACTTATATATTTAAAATAAAATTTATATATTTAAATCTTGGTAGGTCTAGCATAACAGGGATGGAATATGCTAGGAACATACGGTTAGTAATTTGTAGAGATGACAGTTTAAAAATACGGAGAAATAAACCGAGAAACAGCGCACTTTTTTGTGCGCAATAAATATAGTTTTTCAATGGGTGGCACTGTAGCTCTCCGATCTGTCAAAATATTTTTTTTTCGGATAACTACAGTTCTGCAGCTAATTCCTTATAAGCAAAAGAAGAATAATCAGAAGAATGTTGATCCTGTAATGTATATCCGAGATCTATTTGAACGCTTCAGACATTACATGGCAATAATTTTTGGTGTAATTATTCTGTTAAAGATTAGAAAGAAAATTTCAGTTCACAATTTGTGGCCGCAACATTCTGGGAAAGGGGAGGGGGTTTATAATGGCAGTAATACATTGTATCAATAACGTTCTGTCGTTAAGATCTATTTCAAAAATTAAAAAAATATTAACCATTCTCCTAAAATAAAAACAGAAACAAACACATTTTTAAAGACTTTTATTTGTTTAAACATTAACAAGTTTCCCCACCCAGCTTCTACAGGAAAGTTTGGACAAGATGTTCTAGTTTTTTAGCCATTTCACGTCGTTCCTAGGAAAAATATAAGTAAACTTAAAGAAATGTGTACTATTGTTGGAAAACAAATTTGTCAAATATCAATTACAACATCCCAGATCTACATTTTTATTCATTTTAATTCCAAACAATTGATATGTTATTTTGTTAAACTTTGTTTTCACATTCTTAGAAATAAACAAATTTTCCATGGGATCTTAAAGGTTTTTAACAAACCTTGAAATATAAATAATTCAAAAGCATTTTGCAATCATCTAAAAAGATGTATGTAGCCATGCTTAGGGACTGTGGGTATAATGTACTACACTTTTGCTATGCAAATAGTCTTAGAAAAGACTGTTTAAATATATTTCTGACACAAAACAATTTATGTTAAGGAACACAAGGCACACTATAGGGATGAGTTTATAAAAGCAGAAAAACCATGCAATATTAAAACGATTAAAAATATACATTTGAATTAAAAAAAATGACATAGCATTGTGTTTTATCTTGACTACGTGGTAATACATTGCATAAAATGCAAGCTAATTTCGTGAAATAGTTTCACCACTTCAAAGCTGTGCTTTAAGTGCAAAGTCTGACATAAAACTTTAAAGGTGTTATTTATTGAATACATTAAACAAAAAATTTGATTATACACAGACTTCATGTAATTTATTTTCAATCCTGCGGAATGACATAAATTTATAAATTTTATACAGATGCAGTAACATGCATTCGATTCGAGAAAGTGTTACATGCTTTCCAAACGTCTAACGTATCGTCGGATTTCATACGTTTATGCAGTAAAATAAACGTACATCGATTCTTTTACGAGTGCACTTTTTCGTTGAGAGATAATTTGATTAATATTTGAGTATGGTTATTTTGATATAGGCTTGAAATATGGCGTTTTGTCATTAGTAGATGACAATAAGGAAGGGGGCAGGGTGTACTGCTTGTATGGATGCATTATGATTTTAAAAAAATCTCATTTAGTGTAACAGTATATTATCTTAGAATTTTGGTCTGATTTTTTTGCCTAACGTTTGGTTTGATACAATACGGGCTCTCGTGCAAGGTGCATCTAACATTGTTTTTGCTTTGTGCTATTTTCCGTATAATTTTACGTGCACAGTGCAAAATATTCTGGTGTTATACATACCACCTGTTAGTAAACCTTTATATGCCGAACACAATTAAAATTAACATAACTTAAAATAATTAAACAGTTTACACGACAACAAATCCTGGAAGAAAACAATTAGATACCTGGTAATACGACTCCTAATAAAGACATTGACAAGAGACGGTATGACTGAAATATCTTAACTTAAATTAGCACACACACACACACACACAAAATCATAGAAATTGCAACTCGAAGTGCAATGTGGTATAATTAATATTATTATTTCATCGTAACGTACACTCATGTAGTTTCAAACAAATGTAATTATATTTACCCACAATGTAATATATGTAATAATTTGAAAAAAAAATTACATACTGAATTAATTTTTTTGAACTGTCTTCAATTTTTTTTTTACTATCCTGCAGTGTATTCCCATTTCATTCTATTCATTATTTAAAATTTGTTTAACTTTAAACGAACCCTGAAGTTTTATCATTATACCAAAATTTGAATATCTTATAAAGTAGATAACAAAAAATTGATTCCTTTATGTAATACTTTAAATTCATAGCTTACATCTCGTTCGTCCTTAACCAGATTGTATTCGTCGTTGTATACACGATGTCCTCCATTTTGTGTCACGTGATGAGGGATGTCTTTTGTTCCATGCAGTATTAAGCGCGCCGATTTTATAGTTCCTGAATTATTTTTCCCTTTCTGTAAGGAAGACACGGTTTAAAATGTTTTGATTTACATTTCGGTAGAATGATTTAAGAAATCAATGAATGCTATTGCTATGTTTACTAAAATTAGAAAGAACAAGGTACGGTAATGGCCGATTCTGGCCCCTTACTTGATGTTAAAATTAGAGCACATTAAAAAGTATGAGTTTGAAGTTGAGATTCAAATTTGATGCTAGTTTTTAAGCCAGCACTAATTTCGATTGATAGCCATAGAAGCTTTAAGGATACAGAAGTAGGACGATTACCTGCAATTTTGTAGAATTTTGTCAAATTAATGATATTTTTCACTTCAGGAATATAGAGCACAAGCTTGCTTATCTGAAATTTTTATACACATGATGCATCTAATACTAGTGTATGAAATATATAAAATTTGCAGATAGGTAAGCTTGTGTTCTATGTTTTTTGAAACAAAAATGTTCTGTAAATTCAAAGAAAATTTGCATAAAAATAAAAATCGGAAGTTAACATATTTTTTGACCTTCCTGTGACCTCTGTGTATACCATAACCTAGAGCAAATACTTAATTTGTGACAGGGGTGTCAAAAGGTTTTTATTGATAAACTATTGGAAATCATTCTCATTTAAGGAAACCTAAACCAGGGGCCAGGGGGGGGGGTCTTTAATTTCTTTGATGTACTTAACTTTTAAAAATTGCTTCATTTATATGATGAATCACCGCCTTTCATGATAAATAGACAACTGTACAAAATGTATCAATTGTGTATTAGCAAACAGTGAAAAATATTCTTTACAATCATATAATGAAATTCTACTTATGAAACAGCAAAACAAGTCCTACTAACAAAGTATACAATTCAACGCATGAAGTCGGAATAGGTTGGGGAAAAAGATTAAATTTGGAAAAGTCAACTTTAAACGCTTTCATATTCTTTGTTCTGGGGCGTTTTTGAAATACATGTAATACTGGTGAAATGCATATGATGTGAAAAGAGTCTTCTGTTAATAATATATTTTCCTTTTTTCCTATTGTAAAACTTACCATATCTCTAACTTTAACTTTCCAGGTACCTGCTGGATTTTCACCCCAAGAATGCACAGACATAAATTTCCATTTACGGAACCCATCACTGGATTTATCTAACGGTCTCTCTGCTAGTATCATTGTTTCAATACCTAAAATTTAAAGAAAGTACATCATTTTTTATCAATACTCTATGTTTTCATTCCAAGTTCAGTTACGAAGAAAATTCTAAAGAGAAAGGGGATTGATAGAGGGAGGGGGTGGGTGGAAAAAAGTTACGACTACCTCTCCTTAAATATAATGTCACCAAATAAATAAAGGGATTTCTTAATAACATTATATCATTATAGTTTTCTGTTGAAAGAAAAATATAACCTCTTGAGCAGTCAGATACATTGTAATTCTTTTACGTTCAGTCTCTTTATATTTTACAATTTTTCTGAACCAGAGCACCAATACATGTTCCCGAAATCGTATTTCTTTTATAAATAAACTTTAATATTAAAAAAACTTTAAAGACTTTATTCCCTGTTATTACAATTTGTCAATTAATAGATTCATTTTATGCACATAACAATGCATTGTGTTTATTTTTGGGTGTGTTAAATTTACTATCCTGCTTCTTCCAGTTAGATTCTTGTTTCCAAAATATTCTTTATGATTACAAAATTATTTAAAATACTTCAATCTGGAATTTGATTTAACCATCCCTTGAATGATAAAAGGATAGAAGAAACCACAGAATAATATCCTTTATTATCCCTATACTGACTAACTAAATAGACGAAGTCTTCCATGAAATGGATTATTATATGTTCTTCAAAAATTGATGAAGAAAAAATTTACCCAAAGCTGAAGTGAGGTTGATGGCTACGTCCCCGCGTTTTGTGTATTCCATGTCTAATTCAATTTGCACATGTTCTAGGAAGTTAATTTCATTTATCTGTCCTTTACAACCCGTTGTTGTGAGTTCTATTTCCAATTCTTGGCCACTCTGAATTGACCTACGAAAAGATGTTTTTAATTACACATGTATGGCTAAATCAACATTTTCATAACACTTTTACGTATTTTTTTTTTAGCCAAATAAAGATAATTACATGTAGAAAAAGTATCTTTTTATGCGAAAGTCTTAATAAAACAGGCGGGTTTAATGAAGCAATTCCTTTTTTTCTAAATGAGAAAGGGTTAATAGCAGTAGGAATGCGTGGAACCTCTCTCTTTAAACTTCTTTATACATGTACATATTTTTATTCGTGTCATTTTCTTACTGTGGGAAGTTTGTTTGCGTTTCTTTTGTTCCTACATAGCAGATATATTTTTCGGGAACTGTAACCCAATTCTTGGACACTTCAACCATGGCTTTGGCATTAAGAAGTCCAAATCCAAACGCATTGTTGACCCAGAATCCTCCGCCATTTTTTCTCCAGCCTGCGTTGTGTTTTAGAGCTGAATATTCCGCTGTCCATGTTATGAGATGTTGCATGTCACGCCAGGTTAAGTTAGGACTAAAAGATATAAAAAAAAATAATAATAATCTGATATACCTGGTTTCTGATTTTCAGTTATGGAGATAATCAATGGCTGGTACTGTTTCGACAACTGCGTGGACAACAGATTACAACTTTCAGGTAAAATGATAGTTTTGTAAGCAAGTCAACATTACATGAGACAAATTTTATTGATGGCTGTTATTTTTCTCACTTAGCTTCCAGAACAAGAGCAAAAATTCCAGCAGCCAGAGGCGCCGCAGCAGACGTCCCTGTGTGTTGAGTTGTGCACCTCCCGTGTAAATCAGCGCTTGCCTGTCATGGGGAAAACAATTTCAAACATTGGTAAATATTTCAGTTAACTAACATGTGTATTTATAAATAAAAAAAAATAATTTATTTTATTTATATTCCTCTCCTTTAGTGAAAATTCTAATCATTAAATTAAAAGTTATATCACACTTCAAAAAATTCTCATTGTTCTTTTTACAAGAATTTCTTAGGAAATCTAAAATCGTTCGATTGTTAGTACTGAAATATAATTGAAAAACTCCAGATACACGAAAAAATTGCTTAATGCTATACGATATAAAAATTGCAAATCGTAATATTTTGACTTTATACTATTATAATAGAGAGTATAAAGATGATGAATTACAGGTATTTCAATAAGATACACCAAATCTCAAAATCATTCCATTAAAAAACTGTAACATATTTTAGAGATTTGATTTCGGAAGAAATTGTCAAGATGGTTAGTTACTATCTCTATCTTACGACAGGCCAGAATTTATTTCTTATATACTTTGATATGCTTTCACACTGTGACAAGATTTCACTTTGGTATCCTTCCATAATGTGACAAAATCTTTATATTCATTACTCAGTAAATAGATCACGGTAATGTAATAAAAATAGAATAATAAAGATGACATTTTTAAAGGCTTAATTGAATGGACAATATTTGATTATTTGGTCCCATATCAAGCTCCGTTGCTATCGCTTTTTGTTCTTTGGTCAATATTACTTGACATGAGTCCTTATAACCACATATCAACCTACACTGAAGTCCATGAATGTATAATAATCATCTTTAAGATAGTCAATATGTTAATTGTTTATCATATACTGTATTACTTTTTATTTATAGTCATTTTAGAGTATTTCTCTCTTTTCAATACAATACAAAAGCCCTATATTGAATCCTTCAAAATCTACTCAAACATACAATTCTTTGGTCATTATATGCTCCACTAGAGTATGCTGACGCAATGGTTGACGCGCATTTCTCTGCGTACCAAGGCGTGTGTAGATGCTGTGACGCACTGTTTATAGAGATGGTGTAAATACTTCCGGTGTATCCATCACAGTCGCAGTTGTCCCCAAGACGACCTCCATTTCCAGAGGCCCAAGAGTAGATAACTCCTTTTCCTCCTCGTCCCTTAAAATCAACAAATTGTTGACCTACATGTATTCAATGAATCAGTATTTATCCCTACCAATGTCTTTAAAACTTTTTGTATTATTATTTAGCTATAAATAGCAGAATCCAATACTTCAGTATACTTGTCAGTCTTCATTTCATTATTTTTTTTAAGTCCAAATTGAAAATAGCGAAAACACTCTATACGCAATAGTATTGTTTTTGATTATTCGATTGACTAATTTTAAATTTCGTTCAACAATTTTCACTTACCTCTTTAATTCCCTTTTCAAAAGCTTTCATAGCAAGTGGACCTGGACCTTCCACTGTTTTCCCGTCATCATTTGGTCCCCAGGAGGCGCTGTATACATCTACATAAGTATGATTGAAAGCAATGGCGGACGCCTCCAGATGGTCTGTGACCCGACCATCCAACATTCGAACACCTGAAAGTTTGAACATAAAAATACTACAAGCTAGATTTCAACCTTGTTCTCAGAGATTGTCTATATTGTAATAACTAAACTCTTGGTAAGTATCGCAATACTGCATACATGTATAACTGTTTTTGCAAATTTTTCACATAACTAACGTGTCACAAACCTGCATTTCTTTCCTTAAAAAGAATGACCATGTACAGGTTGGTTTAGCATGTGTTCAGGCCCCAAGGCCATAAACTGAGAATAGACTACAGTCAAAATTTCAAATCAATATACTAGTAACTTTTGAAATAATTTTTATAACGAAACAATACATGTATATACATTTTTACCATATGTTTAAATTGAAATATTTTACAAACTTGCAGATCTTTAAGAAGCTATGTATTTTAAATCACAAGCTATTCAAAAATCAAAATTTTGACTTAAGACTGTTCTCAGTTTATGGTCTCAAGGCCCGAATTGAAAAAGACATAACATAATTTTCAGAACCCCCTCATGTAAAAGAAAATTAAATGTACTTAGTGAATTATAGACTTATATATCAAAAAATGATTTTAGTAGAAAAAATAAAATGTATTAGGTAAAAGTATATGTGTGTAACAAAAACAATATTTACCTCCAATCCTTGAGTTGTATGCGACTCCAACTCCACATTTGCTGTTATTTGCCACCATGGCGATTTCACCTGCACATCTTGTACCGTGTCTTAAAAAACAAACGTATCATGCTGAATGTTAGTTTTAAGTTGGAGCTGATTTAAAAGAAACTCAACAGGTTATGTTTTTATCTCTAGACCTTTAGACTTTTCTTCTTCAAATTAGAAAGTCTTTTCGTTTAAAAAAATTAAAAAAATAATTTTCAAAAATGTCACAAGTTAAATTTCAATAATATACATGTAATATGTACGTATTTTTGTTTGATAACACACAACGTAGTTGATGTCTTTAGTTACGAATTCAAAGAACAAAAACTCATTCCATCTTTTCTAAATTGTAATCAGAAACTCATCTTCAGAAATGAATAACCAAAAAAAAAAAAAAAAATTATAAGAGGCTTGCATTTAATATTGAAATGATTAATCTTAGGAACAGCTGACAGTTTTGTTTTTAATTGTAAAGCTAAAATTACTAAAAACAAAAACTGGAAATGCAATTTTTAAATACTAGCTAGTAACTGATTTGCTTTTATTTTAAAACCACCCCGGAGGTTTATACGAGGGGTGATCAAAAAGTTCGCAAACTTTCTCTATATCTACAAAACCACAATTCAGATTAGAATGAAATTCGGTACACACATAGCCATACACAAGGTCTATAAATAGCATATGCTGAATAAAGTTTTTCTCCTTGTTTGTGACGTCACAATATGAAAATGACGTCACTATTTAAGTCACTTGTGACGAAAAAATTTGTCATGTAGAAGATTTTCTCGTTCAACAAACGACAATATGAAAATGACGTCACTATTTAGTCCACTTGTGACTAAAATTGGTTGTCTCAGTCGAACTCGTTCAACAAACGACTGTACAATTTATTGTAATATCTTAGAAATCCCTCTACAGTTTCATATAATAATTTGTACACAGTTTATTTACATAAATGAGTTCCTATAAATTCAATTAATGATTGGATTAATCGTTTTAGTGAAGGAAGGCTGATGGTTAAAAATGATACTTGTCATCTTGCCCAGTGAAAGCAAGTTTGAATAGATATGTATTTTTAATTAAGCAATTTGCTATCAAATTAGCACCAATTAGCACTTTGAAAAATAGTTGAGTATTTGAACAATGATATAAGTATTAAATACCTAAGATATCGTTTACTTTAGATTTTAAACATATTAGATATGATAAAAAGGATGCACCCATTCTCTATCCACCTTGAATAAAGGTCTCTCCTGAGACAGAAGATTTGTGTTTTAATGGTCGCCATGCTTATTTTTGGAAAGGATGTTATTATCCACCCATTCTGTTGCCGAGATATGACCATTTCTGACAAATTAACTGTTCTTGTCATAAAAATTAACTCACATGGAAAGAAATATAAAACTCGGAAAAATCTTTTAACTTTTGTGACAGAACGCTACGGAGGGGGTCACGTGACCGCCAATATCACGTGATTCGCGCATGCGCAGAACGGTGGTTGATGTGCATTAAAATCGGGGAGGATTAATTTAAAATATAATCAACATTAAAACCAAATATTATTTCTTGTATGGAAGTTATTCAATTAGTTTGCGAACTTTTTGATCACCCCTCGTATACGAGTATTTTTGATTCAAGAATGAAAACTGATTTTTTTAAATCAAAAAAATATTTAAATGTTTTTTAAATTGTATTTTGATGATTTTTATGCAGGTTTCATTTCCGTGTTTTCAGAAAAACCATCATTTGAAGATAAAATATTGTAACAGACATGTATTTTTGCAGAAATAGTTATTAATCGAAATGTCATCTAAACTTTGAAAAACCTAATTTCAGCCCGAAAATACCTCTTTCATTAATCTCTCACCAAAGAACCCTTAATATTCAATTATTTAATTTTGAGGTCCATAATGCGACATAAAAACTTTAAGCATCAATCCTCCAGAATATTACATCTCAAAATGAGGCATGAGAGGTGCTGAAAAGTTACATTGTTGAGAATTTAGGAAGAAGCTACAATTTTCTTCTTATTTTATAATTATGTTTATTTAAAAAAATTGAATACCCAGGTAGGTCGGTTCATGAATTTATTGCACTTTTAGGAAATAACGTACACGTGCCTCAGTTAAACTTCTTTTAAAGTTCATGCTGAGCCTCCAGCTACTCAGTATATTAAGGACTACCTTGTATTTAATATAAATCTAATGTGAAATTTACAGACAATCCTGTTCATCACTTACGCTTCATTATCCGATTGATTATTACAATTTCCGATTTATTTTTTGATATCCTTATTTGAAAAAAAAAACCTGACTTACAATTACATTAATTTTAATCCCGTTTTCTACTTCGACACGGGACCCCCGTATTGAATAAGATTTGGTGTCGTTGGTCTTTTCACCCAGTTTCCTTTATATTACTTTGTAAAATTTGATTGCCTAATGTTGTAAACCCTACCTTGAAGGACCACAATATGAACAAAATTTAATCTACCCCGATTGTTCTTTCTAAACCGAGTGTTCATTCAAATATATTTACATCCACTGAATATTTTTCCTTCATTTCTTATAAAGACCATTGCCATTAATCAGTGCATGAACAACACTGAGCAATCCACGTGTGTAGTTTTCTTGAACAATGATGATCCATCAGTTTTACATGCAATAACATACTCATCTTAAAAACAATAGTTAACAAATTTTATTCTACTTTGAATGATTTTTGATACAGAAGTAAATATAAACAATAAAATGCTTTCTTTATTTGTTAGTAGGGGAATTAACGTCGCAGCAATTGCAGAAAAAAATACATAACCCGCGTAAAAACCCGCTTACGCGGGTTATGAATTTTTTCTGCAATAGCTGCGACATTATTTCCCGTATTCACAACCAAAGAAAGCATTTTATTATTTAAGTAACTTTGCGGATCTTGATGAAAATATTTTAAAGTTAATTACCCTATATACTAGTACTCGTTTGTAAAACATTGATCGTCTGTTGTAGCTTTACTCCTGTAGGTCATCATTGATCAAACTTTGAATATAAATTATGCTATACAGCAAAGCTTTCGCTTAAGTTTATTTTATTTTTTATTTAAAAAATACAATCAATTGTCACCAATTCTTAATTAAGAAAGAGGATATGATCCTTCCTTTTGAACAAACCAGAATTCCCTTCAAGCAAGACTGCTTTGCGACAAGTTTAGTTGACATTATATAAATATTGCATGTAGTTGAATGTAACATTGAAAATTTTCACCCCAAGAAAACCATTGTCAACCTCGGCTGCGCGTGGGTCGACAATGGTTTCCTTGGAGTGAAAATTTGGCCTCGGTTGACAATGGTTTTCTTGGGGTGAAAATTTTCAATGTTACACTCAACTAAATGCAATATTTATTATATTATACTGAATGTTTTATACAAATACATATAACAGTGAACCGTGCGCGCATAAATTCTGCGCTGTCGCTATTTTTTGGAATATCACCCGTCGTCAAGCAATGTTGACTGTTTCTACGCTGGAGGGCGTGGCTTCATTATTCAGCGGGTAATAGTGTTTTTTAACAAATGTTTCTCGACGAATCAGGTTCAAGTAATTTACATGAAAGTATAATATTTGAAAATACTCAATCAATGCATAATGGTAATGTGAAAAAGGACCGCAAATGAAACCCTGACTATGCCATTTTAAAAAAAAATGCAACAAAAAATAAAGAAGTGCTTTAACGTACTGTAAGACGGTATATCATATAAAGGATCATCCCAAACAAAAGAAAATATACAACATTGCATTTCATCCGCGGGAAGGCGGCGTTGGGTTTGGTAAGTATGTTGTTATGTGTGAGCCTTTCTCTGTAGACGCTTTGCTTTACAACACCAACTTACTTGTTTTCATTGGTTGGATCATAACGAGGCTGAGGGTCATTGTCCTCGTCATTTAAGTCATAACTAGCGTATGGGTCCTGAAAATACAGTGTATTTCTTTTTTAATTTATCAAAGCTAATTTCAAACATACTTCTATTTTAACTAGAAAACTTCTTTTAAATTGATAATGGAACATTACCATTTTACATTTTTACCCCAAAATGATTATACATTTTATTTCTAAAAAGTACACAGTTTTCCCCCTCATCATTGGTATTCAAAGTGTTTTAAACGGTTGAAAAACGACTCTGATCAGCAGGATATACTTACATAGTTTTGTGCTAAATCAGTGTGATTGTGCTCTATACCTGTAGAAACAGTATATTTTGACAAACAATATATCAAAATACAATCATCTTGACAAAAAAATCACGTTAAAAAACTAAATTCTGATTAAATGACAAAGGCATGAATGATGATATTCATATATGTTGTCATGATTGAATAAGCGATATCTGTTACTCAGTAAAAATTGGTGTCATATGTTACTTTTCAATTCATATTACATTGCACTGTTCATAGAAATTAAATTGAAATTGAAATCTATCTTTGGCATAATAGTAAGATTTGTAATTCATCTAGAATCTATATCTGTCTTTATATTTCAGTATCATTTATTTGATTTTAATGACTACCGGGTACATATTATAAATACCGGTCCCCATGCGAGGATTTGTTACATGTTTACGCTTTTACCAAGACTTTGATTACCAATACACTTTGATATCTTGGAGTATGTATCGAAAATAATGTAAAGAATACTTCCATTAATTATTTTGTCATTCGTGGTTCTTGATCATCCACTGAAGACAAATTCGTTTTCACATTTTCTAATTCGAATCGTCAAATTTTATTCAAAGTGCTCGTTTCTTTTCCTACAATGTCTAAAAATGTATATATTTTCTTAAGTTTTTAAATGTTAATCTATACCCATTATTATGAAATTTGAAACGAAAAATTCTAAGCTATGCTGTTCAAATTGTTCAGTTTACTGATATAAACAGGACTTAATTTAAAGTTGATATTTTCAGATGTTTTGATAAAATTTCGTTTGTATATCATCTTTCCTTAAAGAAGACAGCCTTATGAAATTAACTTTTGTGACCTTAGTTTCTGTGACCTCTCTGTATCATACTGTTTGATAATCAATACACAAGTCATTTATAACAGGGATGGTAACAGCTAGTTGATATTTCTAACTGTAATAGATTCAGAAAATAAGTATGGGATGAACTTTTTGCCACAGACTTCAAAGAAACCCTCAAACAGAGGCACAAAAAGGGGAGTTAACCTATATCGTAATTTCACAATTTTTAATATTTTTAAACTCTATGATAACCTTCCTACCGTCATCCAATACACTGACGACGATGCCTTTTCCAGTGATTCCTTGAGCCCAAACTGGAACCACGTGTAAATCGAGTTTTGGAAGACTGAGATCAGTTCGAGTATCATGCTACAAGAAAAATTGTGTATTTCTTAATCTTCCTGAAATAATGAAAAATGTCCATTACATTTTTTTTTTCCAATTTGAAAATTGTATATGACAATAAAAAAAATTATTCTGAAATTTCAAGGACAGATTATCTCAATGAAAACCTTGTTGCCAAAAATGTTTTTATTTACAATAAAATAGGTTTTTTTCAATTTATATGGAAAAATAACAAATCGAGAAAACGCGACAAAATAGAAATACAATAGGTGTAATATACGTATCACCTTTCTTCATTGTGTTGAGTGTGCTTCGAAGAAATTTAATGTGATAACAATTTTATAACAATTTGGTTCTTCCAAGTACTTTTAATGTGATATTTCACACGAAACATTGCAATATAAACTAATCTATTTATCTTATTTAGTAAAACTGTTGCCTCTCTGAAAAGGAAAAAAAACTGTTACTGTAGTATTTTTTCTCAGAGACGAGAAAGTCCTCGTCATAGACTCGTCACTTACCAAATACCACTCCTTGTTCCATAAAGGGTCTATAAAATGTAAACTCGCTTCTGAGTTACGGACAGCATCGCCTCGTTTTCTTCGAATTTTTTCCACTTGTTGGTCTGCCCATCTCACCTACAGTAGAAAAAAAATGGATCGATATTCCAACAACTTTGACTGAGAAAACTAAAAAATAAAACCAAAAATAATGTACTATAAAAAAAGAGATTAATTGCTCATTGCATTGTACTTAAACGAAGTAAGACAAGTTTTATAGTGCAATGGTGAGGTCATTTTTATGATAAACTTTTTTTCTTACTCGCTCAATTTATGCACTGCTTAAGTTTATTTTTTCTTCTCAGAAACACAATTTTTTTTTATTAAGGTTGATGATTCTTTGACATATCTGGCCGTTTATGTAATTATGTTTATGTGCATTCATATAAAACTATTAACAATCTCGGAAAAATCAAATATATTGCCTGTGATGCTTTTCATACTATAGACTGTTAAGCATTTGCTTTAGGTCTATGCTGTAAGGCCATTACTTTTACACTGAATTCTTCGTCGGATATTTTCACGCTTTTCCGATCATGACAAGGAGCAAAAGGTGGGTGTGACCGATCGGAATGCTCGCTCCTTAATGGCATCTGATCCTAACTCTGATATTTAAGAGTTCCAAGTTTGCTCTGTTTCTAATTTGTATTGTTTTATGGACTTTTGAGATTAAATACTGTTCGTTACCTCCACATATTTCATTTATTAATGTAAGACCAACGTATCATTTATGTTTGGCTGGAATGGGCTTGTCAAACAGACATAAACGGGATTTTCGGATCAAATTACTATTATATACATGTACCTCACTGCAACTCGCTAAATATTATTGAAGAATTTTTTTTATCAATAATATAACTTTTATCCATTATCATACCTTTGTGATCCAAAAAATCCAAGAAACAAATTGGAATTTTTGATGCATTTATTTTATTTTTAATGACAAGAATTTTGAGTTTTAAAAACATATTTTTACATTATATGTGTGCCTATATGCGGGCAAAATTCATTGAAATTGATACATAACAGATATGTAGGCAGAAAATCATATCTTTATATTACTATTAGTGTGATCAAAAGTAGTTGTATTGTTAATTCGACGCACTATCGTGATTTGAACAAATTAAAAAAAATCTTATGAGGTAGCATTTATTTTATTTTTATCGACCAAGAGATTTTGAGGAAAATCTTTTAAAAACTTTTTAATCATTTTGCATCTCAGGACGATTGATCTTTAATTAACGTCTTGAAAATAAGGTTTTATGTCAACATTTTTAAAATAAACTACCTGCAAAAATCTAGACTTTGTGACCGGTTCGGTTGAAACTGGCCACTTTGTAATAAAGAAAGACCAGAAAAAGATAAGAGACAAACAGAGAACAGATAAGCTCCTATCCGACGTACATGTACAGTTTAGATTTCAGCTAGTAAAACAACGGATTTTATACGTATTTTGATCTGTTTTGAATCTTTTAAAACCCGAAAGAACCGCAGTTATATGATAAAAGTTGGTGGTACATGTAGCTTAAATTATTGTGTTTCGTTATATATTTATTTATTCTATCCAGTAATTTTTGCAGATAATATCAAGCTGTAATATTTAAGTAATAATGCATATTTTACTTCTGAAAAAATAATTAGTGTGTGGTTGTTAAAAGGATGTTGTTTTTATTATTTATCATGTTATCATCCTCAAAATATGGCTATCAATACTTGTCTTCGAGATTTTTTAATTTTATTAAATGAATTCTACAGATACAAGTTTTCTGTATATCAGTAAAGAAAGTGGAGAGTATTTCAAATGAGAAAAAAAACTTTTAAAAGTCTAGGCAAGCAGTTCTTTCCTTCATAAAGCAAGCCAATGTTCAAGTGTTAGGATGCAAAGGGCATATTTATTGAAACATAATTATATATTGAATGAATACAGTATTTATCTAGGAAGTCCGACGATGTACGTAATATTATTTTACAGACTAAAAGTACTTTCCCATGTAAACTACTCGGTCAAAGCAATTAATGTTAAAAACGTGCAATGCCTGTGGCATTAATATGAAATCTATGAAGCGTGTAAGTGAACATAAATGCTTTTATTCAGCATCCGTTTGTTTACTCATGTGGATCAACTGTACAAATCTCGGCAACGCTTTAGCGTATGTGGCTTTAAATATTGTTTCCGCTTCCCCTTTGAGTTCGCCTACCTCTGTCTATGTTTTATTTTAGCTTTGTATTAATTGTAGAAAAACAAGATTGAGAAATATTGTGTGTAGACATCTTTTTATAGGCGGCATGAAAGAATTTGCATTCACAGAAGTCTTTACCTTCTAAAGAGATTAGCGCAATACAATGGCTGAATATAAAATCCCACGTGTCAGAATGTGATTGGTTGATGTTTTCTGCGGGACAGTTAAAAGTAATGAAATATCCGGTATCACTGAGGACTGAGACATTTTGTGACAGAAATCAATTACAAGTTGTATTTGTATTCAAAAGCTACAAGAAAATATCCGGTGCAGCGGCCAAAATCAATTGATTTAAATACCAGAGATGAGAAATATTAAGTCAGTGGACACTCTTATTGAAGCCAATAATACAAAATGACTCCATATGATGTCTTTATGTGAAGACACGATTTTCTTTGTGTAGTAAAGTTTTTTTGATATAATTTATGTTACTACTGATATTTTTACCTTCTGTAACCGTCATTAGCATTCTGTAAGGGATTGGGCACCATAATAAACGAATTATTAATATTGGTTGATATTTTTACCCCTAATCAAGTAATTAAGAGGGCTAGGTGTTGTAGCCATTTTAGACTACATTGATCTCATTTAGAAGAAGAGCTCCATATAAAAATATACAACGATGATCAAATTTTAAAACTAAAAAAGATGAAAAATTTCTTTTCCAAATGATAGTTGACAGGTTAAGATATCACATCCAAAGAAATTAAGTTACATATCCAATGGTTAATTTGTTGACCCCCAGCCTCCTTTTAAAGAGTTATATGCCTGAACGAGAAATTTTGCTGATTTTAAAAACATGGCTTAAACACTCTTAACAAAAATAAAATGAAAAAAAATCTCTTTTTATACAGGCGAAGATCAAAGACGTTCATGCGAAGGAGCTATTTTACAAAAAAGGTTTTAAACGTCATATTTTGTAGAAAATCTAGTCTAGGGTAATTCAAACTTTGTGAATAAAGTGACATTCTACATTACATTTTTGTATGGCGGATTATCTACTATTAGTTATTTAATTCGTGTCATCTATAATTTGAAGGAAGTTGTAATTACCTCTGATGTTCCAGGAACAAAGTAGATGTTTTAAAATTAACATGTCTTCAATTCATTCATATAGTTGCAGAATTGAAGCTTGAAAATTCTTCATTAAACAAAATAGATTTAACTTCCTTTTTAGTATTTATAGAAAACCACAAGTTATTTCTTTGATGTATAGAGGCACTAGTGAGATTAAGTTTACGTTTTTAACTACATTATTTATACAATGTCTTCACTTCGAACAAACACAATGCACATTTTGCAATTAACTGGATTTCTTTATAACTAAACCATCTGTGGTGCAAGCTAAAAATTGAAAAAAAAACCTATATTTCACAGTTTAATTTGAAAAGATAGGATTCCTCAATTTTTAACGTGAAGAAATTTTATTCGAAGTTAACAATTGCTGAGTAGCATTCTTTTAAACCGGAAGTATTGCCACTAGTTGGTTGAAGAGGGACGAATCTGATTTGGATGGTCCTATCCGACATAAAGAAATATAATCAATTTTAAAATCGGGATTTAGACTAAAGGAGCCGGGGGGGGGGGTTATCATAATGAATCGGCCCTATCCGACATAAGTGTAAAAATTGGTACAACTTCTTCTGATGTCTTACCTGTCACAGCAGGAGTGCCACAGGGATCAATATTAGGCCCCCTATTGTTCTTGTTGTATATTAATGACCTTCCCTTACATGTAAGTCATTCAAATATCGATATGTTTGCTGATGATGCAACTCTACATGTTTATGAGAATAATATATTTAGTATTGAAACAGCTCTAAATTCTGATTTAGTAAATATTGAAAAATGGTGTTTAGAAAATCAAATGGCTCTAAATGTTGATAAAACAAAATGTATGCTGATGGGTACTAAACAAAGGAAATCAAAATTAGATAATCAAAATCTCAGTTTACATATCTCTGACAAACACCTCACCAATGTTGAAACAGAAAAACTACTTGGGGTACATATAGATCAAACACTGAACTTTCATGATCATGTAGACTCGGTCTGCAAATCTTTAACATATAAATTGTTTACTTTGCGGAAAATCAAGAAATTTCTTCCTTTGAAAACCAGAAAACTTTTTTACAATGCCTTTATCCTGCCTTCCATTAATTATTGTCTGACTATCTGGGGTAATGCACCACATAGTTACATGGAGAGAATCCATAAGCTCCAAAAGCGGGCTGCTAGAATTATACTTGACGCTGCCCCTGATGCTCCTTCTAAGGCATTATTTGAAAAACTAAGGTGGCTATCTGTTTTTGACTTAGTAACTTTGCATAAATGTATTTTGTTGTACAAGATATTTAACAATCATAGCCCGGCTTACTTGCAAGATTTATTTATTTCTCAAACTTCTAATGCTTATACTTTACGTTCAGAATCTAATTTTGACCTTCGCCTACCAAAACACCGAACAAATTTATTTAAAAATTCACTTCAATATTCCGGTGTTCATATTTGGAACAATTTACCTATAGATATAAGATATGCGCCAACTCTGCCAATCTTTAAACGAAATGTAGAAAAGTATATCTTCAACAGCAGAACTTGATTACTCTGAACTATCTTACTCATGTGACATTATACATGTATTTCTTTTTATGTCATATAAATATATCTGTTTATTATTTCTATTTTATTATGATTATCATTATTATCATGTGACATTGTGTATATACGTGTATTATAATTCACTTTCTAATCTGTTCATCTTTGCTAATTTGATGTAATACTGTTGTTGTAATTAGAAGGCCCTAGGAAGAATAGTGTGTCACACTAATCAGGCCACCTTCTCTAAATAAAGTATTATTATTATTATTATTATTATTACTATTAAGTAAACGTAATCACCTTTAAATTGAGGATATAGATTGAAAGGGAGAAGGTGTTTATCAAATGGTCACCTTTATATTGAGGATTTAGATTAAAGGGGGGTATATTTATTGATACTCACTCGTCCATCCTTCTCTAGACGCCGTGTGTGATGATGAGCCTCACGTCTAGATCGAACTGGTACGTCACGATGACGTAATACATAGTGATCTTCGAATGGTTTTATCTGGAAATTTAAAAAAAATTGTAATACTAAATATGGAAATTTTAGTTATATTCATATAAATGCAAATATAATTTCATGTATTAGGATTGTTTCACCAGCTGTGCAAATTAAAAATTATGGAAATATCTTGTAATATTATCATGGAGACATTTGCAAAAAAAACAAAGTTTTTAAAAACCAAAACAAGAAACAGCTGTACATGATTGTCAAATTGTTTTCATTGAATTTTGACATCTAATAGCTGCATGTAAACTATTTATTGCATCCGATAGCCGGTTATTTTTTTTCAAAACTGGATAAAAGAAGAACCGGATAATTTATCTCTAAAGCAATTCTATACTACAGACATAAACCAGTTTAGTTTTTTGACTACATTGTAGTACAGATAAATAGGAAATGAAATATTAGACTCTCCAAGGGTTTTCTTTTATATGGAAAATCTCCGATTATACCTTATATACGAAAAATATTTGTAGCTTTAAATGTACTGAAAAGTATCGTATTTATCACTTGATATTAATATAAATGGAAAATTCAGGAAATCGAGTAAAAAGTCGTTATGCTCGAACTAATGAATACATTTGACAAACCCTTAGATTGAATAAACTGCGCTAGGGTGCAGCCAATTACAATATTGTCCCCCCTCTGTACCGGTACACGGACAGTCGATTTTCATTTCTTCATTTAATAGCTAGGATTTTCTCGACTTAACAAATGCGGATTCAAAAACTTTCTTTCCTTTCAATGCGTATAATCTGGTGTGATAAAAACCATTCTCACCAAAATGCACTTGTAAAAAAAAAAAAAAGAAGAGAATTTTTCCAATTCTTTTTGTGTTCATTTTTCTGTGGTTCTCTTATATGAATTTTAAGATGAATTCGTCTGATTATCGGAAATTGAATGCAAACATTACAATAGATAGCATCCCCTGAAATAATTAATTGGATTTAAATGCTAGGTACCCTTTTCTTAGTCCTTTTTTAAAGAAACTTGAATATCATATTGTTCGACAAATATGACTGGGTTTTCTTTATCCTAGTCTGATGTAATATTAAGGGAACTAATTAGTAAACTTTGTATGTATCTTATTTCTAGGTTCATTATTGCTTGAACATCATTTAGGGCCATCGTTTTTACCCATCGATTTCTAGACAATTCGTTAGTTTGTAGATTGTCTTCAGTCATGCAAATATTGCGGGGTAACATTTTGTACTATGAGAAGCACGGGCACAGGAAATTAATGTAAATACTAAGTAATGTGCATGAATAAAAAAGGAAGAGTAGGATATTCTTTTTGAGGAAATTCGAGTTAGGGGTATTGTGAATGTTTTTTATACGGTCTGACACGATAAATCGTTTATATATACTTTGCTTACAGTATAATTATATCATACTTCGCTCCACACCAACATATTTTACTTGAAGAAAAAGACGTTTTACACCATCAAGTGCCTTAATATTTTTCTAGACTGCTCTTTTTCCGGTTACAATCACAAGTGAATTCAAAGCTTAATTCTGATGGGTCAAACAAACTGTAGAAAATTAAAATCAAAAGTAAAATATCGTCAAATGAAAATTTACCGACTCGTAAATCCAGTAGGATACGGCTCAACTGAAAAAAATTCCAAATTGCATTTTTGTATTTCAAGAATTATTTTTCATATATATTATATATGAAGACCAATCAGTGTTCGGTGCCTTTTCTCGACCGAATGGTTGAAAATGGTCCATTTAATCTCCGGGAAGCTATTTTAATTTTTTTTATGCATTCCAGAGAAGAAGTATAGAAATTTCTGTCAAAATTTTTTTTGTCACCTACATCTACATGTACCTACCGAACCAAGTTTTAACTGCATCCTGAATCAGGAGAGGGCAAATAACCATTTTTTACAGTTGACCTAAGTAAACAATGTTCTTAAATATCAAGGATATGACGAACATATGGCGTTTTAGCTAAATAGTATTATTGAAAATAAATACATGTACACATGTCACTGCTTTTGATGACAACACATTCACTATACCCCGTATTAACTTCTGCAACTCCGATGTGCGTTTCTGTCGCTTTTTGAAAATAGATAATAGAAGTTTTTATTCTCCGGAATTAATGTATCTTCGATATTGATCATATGTGATAAGAAATTTAAATATATATTAATTTGCATTTACTTTTAAATATGTAAAATATTTTACAAAGTTAAAGGTTTACTCTTAATTATTTCCATGTAAGTTATATCGATTTAAGTTAATTTAAAGCGTATGATGAAAAATGTTGGAGATAAAAAGAACAGGTTTACATGCAGTTCCTTCTGTCTGAAGTTTAATGTAACATCTGATTAGTTTAGAAAATTGAAAGTTTCCATCTCGTTTCCCCTGCGATGACAAAAAGACATTAAAGCAACTGCCTTTGTCATAACGTCATTCTGTACGCGTAGATGATCATATCGAGATTTTTTCTTTTAAAACTGCCATTGTCCTAATTAGGAGAATGTTATTAAAAGATCAAATAAATCAATCAAAGCTTCATTAGAATTAGTATGGATTAAGTATTCCATGGTAATTCTAATCAAACTCCTTCTGATGTAACTTTTTTTCAGTTTGAACAAAAACAAGTCTGAAAGCCTAACTGGACGAGAATCATTGTTTTTGTAGCTGTATATTTATTAATGCTTGTTTTATTGTGGGTCTCTCCAATATGACTTGGAACACAAAGACATGTATAACTCCATGAATCTGAATAAAAATACACTTTGTTAATCATACACTCGGCAAGGAAAGGACTACTAAAGTTGTCCAAATAAGATCGATACATCTACCCGTGGGTAACTGTATTTAACCTATAAAGCGTCCACGATGGCACATTACAGTCTACAAGTTTGGTTTGGATACTGATTGAAATAAGCCAGAAAGTAACCTAACATGACCAAACGGACGGACATGGTGAGTATAACCCCACCCCTTATACACTTTTTAAAATACTTTACGAGGGTAAAACTACATTCGACCTCAAGATAATTTACATTGAATCCAAACTGCAAGGACGTTCATGACCCAACAGACAGAGACAAGGTTACTTAGTAAAGACAAAGGCTGTCTTATCTAATAAATATCCCTCTATCTCACTGCCTAAAACTTGTTTTCAGAAGTGGGAGTAGAGATTGAACTTTGGTTTAAAGCCATCTAGGAATCTGTAAGGGAAAGGAAAATGTAAAATTTAAACAAGGGCACCGTAAAGCGGAGCATCCCCTGGCATAGACAGTATAGGTATTGATAAATGAAGACAGCATTAGAGATTGATTCCGATTTTACACAAGAACAAACAAACACAAACACCCTCTCACACATACAAATAACACCCTCTCTAGCGCTTTACTATATATTTTTCAACTCCATTGCGAGGGCATAATAATGTTAACGTTTTTTAATCAATGAATCAAGCGCTGTATAACCTTTCATCTAAAGATTCCCTCAGAACTTCTCTCTTCGGTTTTTCAAATTCAGAACTCTCATTTTTTAAAGGTCTCAAAAAAGTTCTAAAATTTGATGAAAAAAAATTACTGGACTGGAAGATTATTGTGAGAAGGATAATTTATTATCAAATTTTCTTTTGAACTCTTCAATGACATTCGATCAATCATGAAGGAATATTCAATTTAACAGTTCTGCGTAAAACCTCTCTCAGCTCTTTGAGCTCAGAAAGACGAAGGTACACATTAAAGTTCATAATATGATAATATTTATGTCTTTATATATAATATTTTTTACAAGCAGTCACAGTTTAGAAGATATCTTTTGTCAAAAAGCGTATTGCTGTTCATTAACATTCGAAATCTTTGTCAATGAAAAGACAATCCTTCTTTGTTTAAGCTTTATTTTCTATCGTACTTCGATGGGAAGTTGTCCTTCGATTAATTAGCAGCCATCATATTTTACCTCATTAAGTGGCATCAACATGTAAAAGCTTTAGGCCGCAAGCAGCCATTAGATCCTGAAAAATGGCAGACAAATACTGAAGTAGCGGCGTATTTATCAATTATAGGAACGATTTACGAAATTACCGTCCAATGCAAAATTTGTGTCTATTTCATCATTATATAGCAAAGCATATGAGTGACTTGAATATTTGCTTTGCTTTGAACGTTTGCTAAATGAAAACATAGTGGAGGTCCGTGTATGATTATATAAGCATTTGATTAATAATTAATTGACCCCCCCCCTTCCAAAGTAGACGAAAACAATGTTGGAGACACCCTCGCAATAAACGTTAGCAACGTAGCTAATATGTCGTCATCGTCGCAAACCACGGCCAAAATGTACGCTCCTCTCCCATCTCGTAGGAGAGAGCTATATATGCGGACTCCGGACCGTGGCTTGAGACGATGATATGTCGCAAAATGCAGTTGTTAGGAAAATTCCCCATGTCTTTGACTGAATTGGAAGAGTTTCAACATAAATATTTCTAGAATTAAAATTTTATAACTCTGAAGTTACTGTTTAAAGGATTCTGTAAATTTCTGTACACATTCTGTCTCCTATCAATTTTGCAAAACTTAATTTTGGGTTTTCTTTATTCCAAATTAGTTAACTCAAATTTATTTGTATCTTATTGTAAAATTTGAATTTACTAGGGGGGATTCAAAATTTATACAACATATTTGATTGGCTATGATTTTATACATGAATTGTATGACTATAATCAGGAGAGGGAAACAACAAATTGGATAAAAATACCTTTAATCATAAAAGCATGAGATTATTTTTAATATGTTTTTATCAATGTTTAAATTCCTTTTTTCCTCTTTCACATAGCCGTTGCACGACTGCCTTATATTGCATAACAACGCTTGCCAATCTATATGTACTGCTGAACAAACTGCCCCATGAAATAATAATCAAATTAGTTTAATTATTATCAAATCTCCATCTTTTATGTTCACATATAGTTTAATGACATTTTCAATTGTATGAATACTTAACATAGTCTTGTCAAAATTAAACATGATTTGATAACTGTAGAATGAATTCATTTTCTCAATCAAAGAAACTTGGGAAGCTTTATTAATTCCGGCATCCACATCCTTAACTGTTTGATTGCACTCAAATTTTTAACAATTCTTTCTTGCCACAGGTCACTTCCTGTTTCCCATTTTGAGAACAGTTCACTCTTGGTTATCTTTCTGACATTAAACAATAAAGATATAGATACATGTACTATGAAAAAAAGTCTCACAAAGTTTTACTTTCCGACCACGATTAAAACCTAACCATATTGTTCTGACCAAATTTGAATATATTTTTAAAATTTTCAATTACATAAATTCTTTTCTTTTTATTGTTCTACAATCGACCAGAAAACAAATAAGAGAAGGGAAAAAATAACTCTTATTTCAGCTTTGCACCTTACCACATGCTTCATTTGTTCTATACAATTTTGATATCGTATACTCAGCTGTTCAAATTGTAAATATCATTTCATCTGCAACACGCTTACAAAATTTGCATTAAATTACTGTAACTTACCACATACGATGTTATACGATAATACTGGAATAAACTTCCACAATTAAAATACTGTTTTTTTAATTTCTAAAATAATAATTTTTCAACTGATACAGTTAGCTTGAATTTATTTTTAGGATGCTTTATATTTGAGTGATGTAATTTATCAAATATTCTTAAAAAGAGAGAAACATAGGAGATTTCTGTAAATCATAAAGGGGGTTCTCGAAACTACATTAAGTTATAATAAAAAAAGTTAAAAATTCCTCCTTAATTAGAGCCTCCTCAAGGCCTTTCTGGTACCATACCATTTTTTTGGTTTTATTTCGTATGCTGTGGATTATGCATTAACAACTTTAAAGTCAAATAATTTGACTTTTCTCTGATCCTGTCCCTATAAAAATAATACTTGCCAAAAAGTCCGTTTATTCACTTACTTCCTTAACGATTTCATATCCATGAGATTTAGCAACCTCTCGAGCTTGACGTATTCCACCAGGAATTTCCACAGCCCATTCATTTACAAAATGATTCCCTCCTATAGAAACTACATGGCATAGCAGCAGTGTGATTGAAATAAATAAAATCCAAAGGTTCATAATATTCGAAACTTTCTATTTTGAATCAAAAAAAGTTTTGAGAACACGAAGTCCGTGTTTAGGTCCTCTTTGATAAAGCCCGAAAAGGTCGAAACCACTCCAATTCGAGGCATTAGAACATTTTCATTATTTTCGTACAATTCATGACGAAATTGAAAGATAAAAATTGTTCCGTCTCGTTGTGAACAGATATCTACTGTACCAGCTGGCGTTTACTATACGTATTCGTTGACAGTGACTACACTTGTTTTAGTTATCTTTGATATGATCAAAATACACTTGTATCCTATTAAAACTTCTGTTGCTCTATTGACTAATGCATATATAAATTAATCGAAGTCGAAAAACGAACGACGGCCATATTGTAGAGATGTTACATTAATATGAAATCTAGGAGGCATTACACCATAAATGAATATTATTGGTCTATTAGCCCAATGCGCTGGACCACTTATTTTACAATAGAGGATAAAAGTATTGGGAGGAGAAATCAGTTGAACTCTGAACTCAATTGTCATATGAATGACAGGCCAATTAATGCAAGACCCAGGACTAATCTTCCACCTGCACAAAGGATTCATATAACGAGGAAAGGTAGATTCAGGAAATTTTATCCCATGCTAAGGAAAATTTCATACTTTACTAAGATAATCAATAATTTTTATAGATAAAAAATGATGAGACGATAGCAATGAACTGTAGTACATGTATTAGTATGTTGAAAACTGATAGAAATCCGGTGATAGCTTTTAAAAAAACACAGGTGTAAAAATTTATCCTAGTTTTGCGTCCTGGAGTGAGCATCGCTTTTTCCTTACTTTTACAACATATAGTGAAAAATATTTCGTTAGTTTTTTATCTTTATTCAGTGAAGGTAATACGAGTCATATTTTAGACTATACTGCGTACACAGAACAGCACCTCACATTTCTTGGAAGAAACAAACCAATATTTATATAGTGTTTATTAGAAAAACGAATTCAACCATTTAGTCTTATCAGTCTACAGTACTGAAGCCACATTTTGGTGGATATCAATAAGATCTAAACACTAGAATTTAAAGTTACATATTTTTCTTACTCCAAAGAAAACCCCTACCTCATTATTCAAAAGGCAAACATCAAGAGGTCAGTTACATCAACTTGTTCGACGGAAACTCCGTAAAAGATTTCCCTGTAACCATATTCATACTGTGGTCGAGGTCTCAACTTACGGACACTACAACCAAAAGGAAGCATCAACCTTGCAAATAGTAAAAATCTTTCGTCAAAATCGATCTACTGCTTCATATACTAAGTATTTGATCAGTTATATACTTGTAGAGATTGCTTTGGGGGGAATAAAATGAAGAAAACACTTGCAGTGGACTCCGCCTCGACTTTTAGATACATGTACGTATATCGACGACGAATAATATTATCAATTTACAATACTTATATCCATTCGTATGTCAACATAATATAAAAAATGTATAGACATAAAAATGAAATAAACATGATTATGCTCAACATATGGAAAACATATGAACATAAACATATGTTTATCATATGGTAATACAAAACATATAAGTAACATATGTTTACCTTTTAATCAAAATATGTTTAGAAGCATACGTTAATCATATGTTGATAGTTTTTTTATGGCGAAAATTATATGTTTTGGAACATATGTTCAACATATGTCAACCATACGTTGCAATTTTACCCAGTAAGTTTGAAATAAAAGATAAAACAGAGGCTGACACATAAGTTTATAATATATGAATATTTTTCTATAAAAAATGTTAATGGTAATCTAACAACCAAACTTTATGATAACGTGATGACTTCAATATTTATATCGTCAACTTCCTTTACTTATTCAGCAATAAACTTTAATCGCCAACAATTCTCAGCTGATTCGATCAGCAAGAGAACCATTTCTTTAAAAGGTAATTTATTGACAAACAAGTCAAAGAAACATATCTTCCATATATGCCTGCATGACAACCGATCGAGAAAATATTTATTTTATTCTATGTATAGACGACAAAATGATGGGAGGTGGAATTTCAAGCTGTTTCTCGGAGATGGCTGGGACAATATTCCTGAAACTTTCCTCAAAGGAGTATCACTGGTTGTAGTTGTGTTCTGTGGTCATTCAGTTTCAAAATGGTTACCGTTGCCATGGAAACCTGCTAAAAGCTACGAATTTTGTCCGCGAGTGTTCTCTCTGGTCCCTTAAACATTCTTCATAAAATGTTATTGATGTAATGATTAGTACCTTTAATTGTGCTTATTGGATTTAAAAATTGGAAATTGTCAGCAGTTTCTAAGGAAACAGGGGGAAAGTGAAAAATCTTAAACTTTGCTTTTTAAATCTAAGTACTGAAAGTACTGATATGAGTTGATGGTTGTCTAAGCTTAGCTAATTGGTATTGTTTTAGTGATACAAAAAATGAAAGTCTCGTCCGAAATTATCAATACACTGTAGTTGCCATGGAAATAGGGAAACCGTTCGGGGCGACATACGATATTATTGCTTGCAATAGCAGACTCTCTAGTATTATATTTTGCAATCATATTCTATTTGGATGGGTTTTTTTTTATCAATATATATATTTAATTAGGTTACGGCCATTTCGAAATTAACATGGTGAAAGACCTTGCCAGAATTTTGGGCTTTAGAAGTCCAAAGGCAAAGGTCCTTGCAGCATGTCAGAGTACGTATGAAACAGGTGGCAATTATATATTTATGATTTATGATTATAGTCATAGACATATCAGTGAGTGAGCTAAAATTATTTTATTTCAAATTTCAGATCACTATAAAATGGCATATTCTCGAATTTTTTTTTTTTTTTTTTTTTTTTTTTTACCATTCTGGCGAAATCATGGTTCCCAATGTAAGGGGCGCTATAAACAGCAATAGTGACCCTATACGGTTTTCTGGACTGCCTTGCCAATCCTAATAAAAACAAGAGGCCCACGGGCCTCACAGGTCATCTGAGTATCATGTACAGTGTAACAACTTTCCTAAACCAAAAGCCATGAAATTCACAATTTTGAAAGAGGCACCATTGTTTATCTTAATTATACACTTAGCATGCATACTTTGGTTACTTAAAACCCTGAGGTGGATCAGAGTATCAAAGAGAAACTGCACTTCCACTTCATAACCACCAGTTGTGCATCCCGTCCCACAGGAACCATGGGCCACAGATTTCAAAATTTTGGAATTTTTTATAATAAATTTTATTTCATCATGAATGGCTGATTAATATCAAAGAGCAGATTTCAAAGCAATAATTAATATTCAGACTAAGTACCCCCCCCCCGGTAACCATGACCCAGGGGGCCCTGAAATTATACATTTTGGAAGAGACACCTTACTTCATCATAAATATGCACTTAGATCATTGGCATAATACCCTGGATCAAAGGAAAAGATTTTCAAAGAATTCATGCATTTTCACTATGTAATAATTAGACCCCCCAACACCAGAACCAATGACCCAGGGGCCTTGAAATTCACAAATTAGGAAGAAGCATCCTTCCTTATCATAACTATATACATAGTTCATTGGTTTAATACCCAGGAGCAGAGGATAAGATTTTTAAAGAATTTATGCATTTTCACTAAATAATCAATAGAGCCCCGCCCTAACACCTGACCCAGGGGCCATAACATTCACAATTTTGGAAGAGGCAGCCTTATTCAACATAACTATGTACTTGGTTAGTTTATTTAATGTCCAGGAGCAGAGGAGAAGAATTTCAAATGATTTTATGCATTTTCGCTATATAATCAATAGTACACCAGACCCCCTGACCCTGGGGCCATGAAATTCACAATTTTGAAAGAGACAACCTTATTCAACATAAATATGTACTTTGTAAGTTTATTTAATGTCTAGGAACAGAGGAGAAGATTTCCAAGGAAATAATACATTTTCACTATATAATCTATATAGCCCCGCCCTAGCACTAGAACCCTGACCCTGAATTTCACAATTTTGGTAGAGGACTCAATGTTGTTTACAATCATGCCAACAGTTTGACAGGTTGATGTCAAGGTGTAAAGAAAAAGATTTTTTAAAATTGCATTAATTTTAGTGGTTTTGGCTCCGCCCCTTAGCCCCCCCCCCCATGGGGGAGGGACCATGAAATTCATGGTTTTTGTTTCCCTTAACCCATAGATGCTTTATGCCAAAATTGGTTAAAATTGGTTGAGCGATTGCAGAGAAGATGCTAAAAATGTTTCTAATTCTACCACTCTGCGGACACCATCAATCACTGATGACACTTCCACTTCGGTGCGCATGCCAATTTCTTTTAAAAAAGTAAAAATAGTGCTTTACAGTTTCAAAAGTCGGCAGGCCTTGAAAACATCAAGGCTTTTAGATGTCGCTATGTCAGTGGGCAGAGCATTCCAGTCCCTGATGGTCCTAGGGTAGAAGAATTCCTTGCGAACTTGGGTGTTGCTAGATGGTATCTGCAAGGAATGCCTTCCCATGTTACGACTGAGTCTTGATGGTGGTACTAATTTGTCTGATGTTTCTATTCTGACTAGTCCATTTTGAATCTTGTACAGAAGAATTAACCTGGCGCTCCTCCAGTGTTTCCCAATGCAGGGTGTCCAGCATATCTGTGACCGACGAGGTTTTATCGATTGGTAACGTACCTGGCTGCTCTGCATTGGACATCTCAATCTTATATATATCCTCTTTCAAATATTGGTCCCAGGGTAGGTCTTACGAGTGACTTACAGGCTTTTTCTTTAATGTTTGCTTTTCTTATGTTCAGGTTACGTTTTAGAAAGCTGATAGTATTAATAGCTTTCTTGCAGATAGTGGATATATGTTGGTTACATTTCATATCTGAAGTAATTGATACACCTAGATATTTTGCTGTTGTAACATGTTCCAAGTTGGTGACCTTGAAAGATGTAATTCTTCATAATGGGGTGCCTTTTCCTGGATACAGTGAGAACATCGCATTTTTCTGGATGGAAGTTCTTTTTCCAGGTCTCCTCTCATGCTGCAAGTTGGTCAAGGTCTTGTTGAAGATGGGTTGCATCGATGTCTGATGTTATCGTCAAATATACAATTGTATCATCTGCAAATAGTCTGGTCTTTGATCTCACTTTCTCAGGCATGTCGTTGATGTAGTAAAGAAAAAAACTTGGTCCCAGTACTGATCCC